CTACCCAGCCCACCAACCATCTACCCAGCCCACCTACCATCTACCCAGCCCACCTACCCAGCCCACCTACCCAGCCCATCTACCATCGACCAAGTTGACAAGACAGCTGCTGATTGATTGGCCAGGTTATTGATCTGTAGGAACTCATCGACATACGAGGGCAGATGTCTTATGGTGTGAATAGTTAATTAAAGGGCTGAATGCATGTTACACAGCTGTGGTCCTAGTAAGACTGTGGTGGTCCAAGTGGGACTGGTGGTCCTAGTGAGACTGTGTTGGTCCTAGTCAGACTGTGGTGGTCCTAGTGAGACTGGTGGTCCTTGTGAGAATGGTGGTCCTAGTCAGACTGTGGTCCTAGTGAGACTGTGGTGATCCTAGTGAGACTGTGGTGGTCCTAGTGAGACTGTGGTGATCGTAGTGAGACTGTGGTGGTCCTAGTGAGACTGTAGTGGTCCTAGTGAGACTGTGGTGGTCCTAGTCAGACTGTGGTGGTCCTAGTGAGACTGTGGTGATCCTAGTGAGACTGTGGTGGTCCTAGTGAGACTGTAGTGGTCCTAGTGAGACTGTGGTGGTCCTATTTGGACTGTGGTGGTCCTAGTGAGAATGGTGGTCCTAGTGAGACTGGTGATCCTAGTGAGACTGTGGTGGTCCTAGTGATATTGGTGGTCCTAGTCAGACTGTGGTCCTAGTGAGACTGGTGGTCCAAGTGAGACTGGTGGTCCTAGTGAGACTGGTGGTCCTAGTGAGACTGTGGTGATCCTAGTGAGACTGTGGTGGTCCTAGTGATACTGGTGGTCCTAGTGGGACTGTGGTGGTCCTAGTGAGACTGGTGGTCCTAGTCAGACTGTGGTCCTAGTGAGACTGGTGGTCCTAGTGAGACTGGTGGTCCTAGCGAGACTGTGGTGGTCCTAGTGAGACTGTGGTGGTCCTAGTGATACTGGTGGTCCTAGTCAGACTGTGGTCCTAGTGAGACTGTGGTGATCCTAGTGAGACTGTGGTGGTCCTAGTGAGACTGGTGGTCCTAGTGAGACTGGTGGTCCTAGTGAGACTGTGGTGATCCTAGTGAGACTGTGGTGGTCCTAGTGAGACTGGTGGTCCTAGTGAGACTGTGGTGGTCCTAGTGAGACTGTAGTGGTCCTAGTGAGACTGTGGTGGTCCTAGTGAGACAGGTGATCCTAGTGAGACTGTGGTGGTCCTAGTGAGACTGTGGTGGTCCTAGTGAGACTGGTGGTCCTAGTCAGACTGTGGTCCTAGTGAGACAGGTGATCCTAGTGAGACTGGTGGTCCTAGCGAGACTGTGGTGGTCCTAGTGAGACTGTGGTGGTCCTAGTGATACTGGTGGTCCTAGTCAGACTGTGGTCCTAGTGAGACTGTGGTGATCCTAGTGAGACTGTGGTGATCCCAGTGAGACTGTGGTGATCCTAGTGAGACTGTGGTGATCCTAGTGAGACTGTGGTGGTCCTAGTGAGACTGTGGTGGTCCTATTTGGACTGTGGTGGTCCTAGTGAGACTGGTGGTCCTAGTGAGACTGTGGTGGTCCTAGTGAGACTGGTGGTGTGGTGGTCCTGTGAGACTGTGGTGATCCTAGTGAGACGGTGGTGGTCCTAGTGAGACTGTGGTCCTAGTGAGACTGTGGTGGTCCTAGTGAGACTGGTGATCCTAGTGAGACTGGTGGTCCTAGTGAGACTGTGGTGATCCTAGTGAGACTGTGGTGATCCTAGTGAGACTGGTGGTCCTAGTGAGACTTTGGTGATCCTAGTGAGACTGTGGTGGTCCTATTTGGACTGTGGTGGTCCTAGTGAGACTGGTGGTCCTAGTGAGACTGTGGTGGTCCTAGTGAGACTGTGGTGGTCCTAGTGAGACTGGTAGTCCTAGTGAGACTGTGGTGGTCCTAGTGAGACTGTGGTGGTCCTAGTGAGACTGGTGGTCCTAGTGAGACTGTGGTGGTCTTAATGAGACTGGTGGTCCTAGTGAGACTGGTGGTCCTAGTGAGACTGTGGTCCTAGTGAGAATGGTGGTCCTAGTGAGACTGGTGGTCCTAGTGAGACTGGTGGTCCTAGTGAGACTGTGGTGGTCCTAGTGAGACTGGTGATCCTAGTGAGACAGGTGGTCCTAGTGAGACTGTGGTCCTAGTGAGACTGTGGTGATCCTAGTGAGACTGGTGGTCCTAGTGAGACTTTGGTGATCCTAGTGAGACTGTGGTGGTCCTAGTGAGACTGTGGTGGTCCTAGTGAGACTGGTAGTCCTAGTGAGACTGGTGGTCCTAGTGAGACTGTGGTGGTCCTAGTGAGACTGGTGGTCCTAGTGAGACTGGTGGTCCTAGTGAGACTGTAGTGGTCTTAATGAGACTGGTGGTCCTAGTGAGACTGGTGGTCCTAGTGATAATGGTGGTCCTAGTGAGACTGGTGGTCCTAGTGAGACTGGTGGTCCTAGTGAGACTGTGGTGGTCCTAGTGAGACTGGTGATCCTAGTGAGACAGGTGGTCCTAGTGAGACTGTGGTCCTAGTGAGACTGTGGTGGTCCTAGTGAGACTGTGGTGATCCTAGTGAGACTGTGGTGGTCCTAGTGGGACTGGTGGTGGTCATAGTGAGACTCTGAAGGTCTTAGTGGGACTGTAGAGGTCTTAGTGTGAATAATGTTACTGTAAAACTGGTCAATTTGAGAATCAATTGTAATTTTAAGTTTTGTGAGCCCCCTTCCTGTCAAAGTCACACTGTCATGCTATAGATGTCACACTGTCATGCTGTAGTTGTTACACTGTCATGCTATAGATGTTACACTGTCATGCTGTAGATGTCACAATGTCATGCTATAGATGTCACACTGTCATGCTGTAGATGTCACACTGTCATGCTGTAGATGTCACACTAGCATGATGTAGATGTCACACTGTTGTGCTATAAATGTCATATACTGCCATTTTCCAGCTAACTGCTCTCAGAAGAAAGCAATTAAGAAAGATTTTCTCCAGTGAATGAAAAACAACCCTAGACACAATGCACCATCACAGTTAGGTTTAATACTGATATCAAAAAGGAAATACAAGCATAAAAGTATAGCAAGGGCTGTGTAAAGATCTAAGGTTTGGTAGACACAACAGGGTATAAATAAAGGTTATAGGTCAGCAAATTTGGCAGTCTGTGACCAAAAAACTTTAGTTTGGCACTACGGCATCTAATACAATTTTAAATTTGGCTCGGATTTAAATAAAATGTTCTGACAACAAACAAAACATGTTGGCTGCACATGTTGGATGCACATGTTGGATGCACATGTTGGTGGCACATGTTGTCAGCACATGTTTACTTACATGGTGCATGTAGGTTGTAAACAAACAACTGACTCACATGCTTTCATATGACACTAGACATAAGACTTCACCAACATGTTGATCTGCTTCATGCTTCACCATCATTCTGGTTTTTTTCATACTTGACCATCATACTGGTTTATTTCATACTTGACCATCATACTGGATTATTTCATACTTGACCATCATACTTGACCATCATACTGGTTTATTTCATACTTGACCATCATACTGGTTTATTTCATACTTGACCATCATACTAGTTTATTTCATACTTGACCATCATACTGGTTTATTTCATACTTGACCATCATACTAGTTTATTTCATACTTGACCATCATACTAGTTTATTTCATACTTGACCATCATACTTGACCATCATACTAGTTTATTTCATACTTGACCATCATACTAGTTTATTTCATACTTGACCATCATACTACTTTATTTCATACTTGACCATCATACTAGTTTATTTCATACTTGACCATCATACTGGTTTATTTCATACTTGACCATCATACTAGTTTATTTCATACTTGACCATCATACTGGTTTATTTCATACTTGACCATCATACTAGTTTATTTCATACTTGACCATCATACTAGTTTATTTCATACTTGACCATCATACTTGACCATCATACTAGTTTATTTCATACTTGACCATCATACTAGTTTATTTCATACTTGACCATCATACTAGTTTATTTCATACTTGACCATCATACTAGTTTATTTCATACTTGACCATTATACTTGACCATCATACTAGTTTATTTCATACTTGACCATCATACTTGACCATCATACTAGTTTATTTCATACTTGACCATCATACTAGTTTATTTCATACTTGACCATCATACTTGACCATCATACTAGTTTATTTCATACTTGACCATCATACTGGTTTATTTCATACTTGACCATCATACTTGACCATCATACTAGTTTATTTCATACTTGACCATCATACTTGACCATCATACTAGTTTATTTCATACTTGACCATCATACTGGTTTATTTCATACTTGACCATCATACAGGTTTATTTCATACTTGACCATCATACAGGTTTTTTACATACTTGACCATCTGTTTTACACTCACTTTCAAGCTACTTGACATTAACTTTAAGTAAGTTTTTATAAAAAGAAGCTTTAAAAAAAAAGAAAACATGTACAATGTCCATTTAAAAAATGTGCTGACAAAATAATACAAACAGTTTATGCAGTATCACATCAATGTATAAAACACATCTCTTGTTGTGTGATTTATAATTTCACACAACAATAATTTATTTCATTAAAATAAAATTGCAAAGTATCAACTAATGTGACGTTAACACAAATGTTGTAAATATAAAAAATAAAGAAATAAATGTATTTACAATAAAATACTAATAAGCAAGCTTGACAAAAATGCTGAAATATCACAGTAACCAAGAATGGTTTAAGTGATAGACACATGTGTGTGTGGGGAGTGGGGGGGGGGGAGGTCTAACAAAATGTTGACCTAACGCAGCAATACAGGTATGTTGGCTGGTCCCAGCTCCTGGGTGGCTAACATCAGGTGTGGGGGGGGGGGGGGGGGGGAGAGACTACCTGGCATGTCAATACATCTCCATCTTTTTTTTAAATGTTGGAAGAAAACTTTCAGACAATTGGCCAGGGGTTTGAGGAGGGAGGGCACTTAAATTTCTAGCGGGGTATGCGGGAGGGTTGGTTGTATATATTTTCTATACAAATAATATTTTTTTCAAAAAGATGCCTGAAAGAAACTCTGAACAGTAGGAAAGGTTAGATGGTGAACCTAGAGGTCAGCAATCAATTATATGCACACCTCACAGGTCAAATTTGCAGATAAAAAATAGTGACCATTACACAGATATGACAGAAGTGACAGAACAAGGTGTCATGGTGGCAGTGGTCGCACATGGTGTCATGGCACTGACAACAGCAGACGTGCTTGACGACGTGGAGGTGAACGACCTGAGATAATCTCTGTAGGATGGGGTCAGCAGGTCAGCGACCTTGTGGCACTGGGTCAGGACATAGTCGTTGGCTTTGATTGGCTCTGTGAGGGTAAGTAACAAGTTTTATGATTGGTTACATCATGTTATAAGACATCTTGTGATTGGTTGTGTCAAGCTACTAAACATCTTGTTCAGTTAATCAACTACCTTATTGTTCATTCAATGTTTAAGGAAAAATTTTGTTTTTGTAATTATATAATAAAATGTGGGCTCAATTAGGAAATTCAGAATACCTTTCTTAAGTGCAACTGATAATCTAGGGTGCTGTTGGTTGTCTGAACTATGATTGTCTTGAAAGTGACTGATAGCATTAACTGTGGATTATCTAGGGTGCCATTGATTGTCTGAACTATGATTGTCTTGAAATTGACTGATAGCATTAACTGTGGATTATCTAGGGTACCAGTGATTGTCTGAACTATGATTGTCTTGTGGATTATCTAGATTAAGACAGATTGTGTTTTAACACCTGGGGTGAGCACCTAGACCTCACCTTGCCATGTAGAGCTGTCATGTGCGATGTAGACAACTGCAGGTACGCAGTGCTGCGCCACGCCCAGGTGCTCGGGGTCAAGACAGTTGGACATCCAGACAGGCAGGACCACGTGTTCCATGTGCTGGGGGGGGGGGGGGGGGGGGAGAAAGGTCATGTTAGAGGTCTTCATCAGAACCAGCTTAACATAGTCATCTAAAGCACAATCAGATCTAAATCTATCGAACCACATTAAGTTTTATACAAATGTATCTTTATAGCTTAAACTATCAATATATGACTTTGTTTTGCCCCAGGAAACAATGGAAGTATCTTGATAAATAAATCCTTCAGTGTGAACCAGTGCATTAGATGAAGAGATCTTTCCACCTTTGCCAGTATAGTCCAAAGGAATGCTAAACAATGCGTTTGGTACCTTCACTTGCAGAAGTTATAAGGAAAACAGAGTTGATCATCTAAGGGGCTCCACACCTGTTTCACAGTTTTCACTTCTAGATTTGTTGATGTCCCCATTTAACAAAGGGACGGAGTGGTCTAGCGGTAGAGAGCTGGACTGCTAACCCGTAAGTCTAGAGTTCGAATCCGGGTTCAAGTCAGTAGGCTGTCCCTGAGTCCACCCAACTCTGATGGGTACCTAACTCACGTTAGGGAAAGTAAAGGCGGCTGAGCATAGTGCTGACCACACTATCTCTTCATATGCCGAGGTCACTGAAACAAGTGAACTCTACTTCACTTGCCCCATAGACCCTCAGGTTTGAAAGGGAAACTTACTTACCAGTTAACAAGCCTCATCTGCCCAGTGGTTTGAACTCGGGAAACTCAGGTTAGCGACTGGGCAATGTCCTACCTGACCACAAAGCCTCCATTAATCTTTTTTCTTAAGTGTGTGTTGTAACCAATGACAACAAGGATGTCACTAACATAAGAACTAGGGGTAAGTGACATGTTGGGTAGACTGGGTATAACAAACTTGGATTAAACACATTGGCCCACACCTTGATTGGTGTTCATCATGTGTTGTATTTGTCAAGCTAATGAACCAACAAAGACAAAAGAACTTGAAAAGCTGAACCTGGGCTTTATCTTCAGGATTTACATTCACAACAGTTCCCTGTCTGTGTACAAAGAATAAAGAGATCCCATACTAGACAGAGGCCACTGACCTGTGGGTATCCCATGAACTTTGCTAGACAGAGGCCACTGACCTGTAGGTATCCCATGAACTTTACTAGACAGAGTCAACTGACCTGTGGGTAGCCCATGAACTTGTCCAGACACTGCAGCTGGTCAGAGGTCAGCTTGTAGATACAGCCCTCTACAGAACAGCTGGGGTTGTACTCCAGGTTAGGGAAACCTCCAACATCTGCGTCACCACTGGCAGCTAGTGGGGACATACAGGAGTCAGTGGGGACATACAGGAGTCAGTGGGGATAACAGGAGTCAGTGGGGGATAAAAAGCGTCAGTGGGGACATAGGGAGTCAGTGGGGATAACAGGAGTCAGTGGGGACATACAGGAGTCAGTGAGGACATACAGGAGTCAGTGGGGACATACAGGAGTCAGTGAGGAAATACAGGGATTCAGTGGGGACAAACAAAAGTCATTGGGTACTAAACAGTAGCTTTATATGAGTAAACATGTACATCTAATTTTGTTTTAAATAATTGGAAACTAATTTGTCAATGTGATTTGTCAATATGATTTGTCCATGCAATTTGTCCATGCAATTTGTCCATGCAATTTGTCCATGCAATTTGTCCATGCAATTTGTCCATGCAATTTGTCCATGCAATTTGTCCATGCAATTTGTCCATGCAATTTGTCCATGCAATTTGTCCATGCAATTTGTCCATGTAATTTGTCCATGCAATTTGTCCATGTAATTTGTCCATGTAATTTGTCCATGCAATTTGTCCATGTAATTTGTCCATGTAATTTGTCCATGTAATTTGTCCATGCAATTTGTCCATGTAATTTGTCCATGTAATTTGTCCATGCAATTTGTCCATGTAATTTGTCCATGTAATTTGTCCATGCAATTTGTCAATGTAATTTGTCCATGTAATTTGTCCATGTAATTTGTCCATGTAATTTGTCAATGTAATTTGTCCATGTAATTTGTCCATGTAATTTGTCCATGTCATTTGTCCATGTCATTTGTCCATGTAATTTGTCCATGTAATTTGTCCATGCAATTTGTCAATGTAATTTGTCTATGTAATTTGTCCATGTAATTTGTCCATGTAATTTGTCAACATACCTTTTCTATTGAAGACCAGACCAAAGCCAAAAAGTAGAGCCCAAAATCTTTCTGGTGACCTTTGACATCCCAAGTAGGTTGAGATCCTGGTGGGGAGGGGGGAGGGGGAGACAAAGTGGTTTACAGATGCTGGGTGGTTTGTTTTGTTTTCTTTTTGGGGGGGAGGGGGGATGACAACATTTATGTTAGTGTCAATATTACAGACTCATGGTGTTTCACTGTCAGGGCCCATTTCACTCCCCTGTCATGTCTCCCACCTGTCATGTCACCCACCTGTCATGTCTCCCACCTGTCATGTCACCCACCTGTCATGTCTCCCACCTGTCATGTCACCCACCTGTCATGTCTCACCTGTCATGTCACTCACCTGCCCTGTCACTCACCTGTGATGTCTTCCCTGTCATGTTACCCACCTGTCATGTCACCCACCTGTCATGTCTCCCACCTGTCATGTCACCCACCTGTCATGTCTCCCACCTGTCATGTCACCCACCTGTCATGTCTCACCTGTCATGTCACTCACCTGCCCTGTCACTCACCTGTGATGTCTTCCCTGTCATGTTACCCACCTGTCATGTCACCCACCTGTCATGTCTCCCACCTGTCATGTCACCCACCTGTCATGTCTCCCACCTGTCATGTCACCCACCTGTCATGTCTCCCACCTGTCATGTCACCCACCTGTCATGTCTCACCTGTCATGTCATTCACCTGCCCTGTCACTCACCTGTGATGTCTTCCCTGTCATGTTACCCACCTGTCATGTCACCCACCTGTCATGTCTCCCACCTGTCATGTCACCCACCTGTCATGTCTCCCACCTGTCATGTCACTCACCTGCCCTGTCACTCACCTGTGATGTCTTCCCTGTCATGTTACCCACCTGTCATGTCACCCACCTGTCATGTCTCCCACCTGTCATGTCACCCACCTGTCATGTCTCCCACCTGTCATGTCTCCCACCTGTCATGTCTCCCACCTGTCATGTCTCCCACCTGTCATGTCACCCACCTGTCATGTCACTCACCTGTCATGTCACTCACCTGTCATGTCACTCACCTGTCATGTCACTCACCTGTCAGGGCTCATGTGGTGATCATAAGCAAAGAAAAAGAGACAGCCATCAGGGGGTCTGGCATTGAGTTTAAAACACAGAGGGGGCACGGCACACAGGGCAGCCATGTCGACCTTTGACCCCGCAGCCAATCTGATGGGCAGAAAGTTGTTAGCATTTGTCATTTAGAGCTTCAAGCATTTTTTTTAAAAGGGCTAAAATCATTTTTTTCCTGGGTTTAAATCATTTTTTACCTGGGTTTAAATAATTTTAAATAATTTTTACCTGGGTTTAAATAATTTTTACCTGGGTTTAAATAATTTTTACCTGGGTTTAAATAATTTTTACCTGGGTTTAAATAATTTTTACCTGGGTTTAAATAATTTTTACCTGGGTTTAAATCATTTTTTACCTGGGTTTAAATCATTTTTACCTGGGTTTAAATCATTTTTACCTGGGTTTAAATAATTTTAGATAATTTTTACCTGGGTTTAAATAATTTCTTAGCTTGAGCAACAACTTCCAAAGGCCTGTTAGAAAATGGAAGAATGAACTCATAATTCTTTATCAAATTCCCTTGATATGATTTTTATTGAAATAAATTTTAATTTATTGAATACTAGCGTACCCGTCCCCCGCGCGTTGCCGCGGGGATAGAAGAAAGTATGACGAAATGTATTAGAAAGATTTCACCAACGCGTTACCAATCATGTTCTTAGACGCGTGACCGTCTTTTCTAAAAGTGAGTTATTAAAATGTAAACAAAGCCTGGGCTTAATTCATAAATATTGGGACACAGGTTTACCTACACTACCGCATGTAAACATTGAGTGTACATTAATCACTCACCGAAATAATATGTTAGAACACACTTCGGTGACCGCCCATGTGTCAGAGATGTACAGGGGCGTTCCCCCCCCCCCCCCCCAGATTACACTACCGCATAGGCGCGGCGTACGACCCCTGGCTCCTTAAAAGTAATAGGCGCCATCGTGCCAAATAGCATCCTGTTAATAATGATGCAGATTTCATCATTCGCTAAAGTGCCACAAATGAACAGGCTTTTTTTTCTTTAACACGTAAAAAAGACATGTTTTAAACATCAGTGTGACTGATGAAATATGCTAGCGTTACTAATGGTCTATTATTAGATGCTCGATCTCAATTTCTGACTGGATTTTCTAATAGTAGATGCTTATTGCATCACTGGCAAAGTGACGAAACTCTACAGTAGGCTCCTCATATTCAAAAAGTTATTTTTTCATCTTTGGCAAGGTGACGAAACTGTACAGAAGGATTTCCTCGCGTTACAAAGTTATTTTTAGAAGACTGTTGTAGTTTTACCGCTGAGTATAGTAGTACCCCTTACTCGCTATGCAGGGCGCTCGATTAACGGGTGCCAAGTGCCAACATAGTCGCTCTAAAACTCTGGGCGCCAAACCGTGTATTGACGAAAGTTGTACCCTATATGGCGCCGCCCATAAGAAACTTTAGTTTTCTTTTTCGCAGAAATATTCTCGGGAGTATTCTCATCTACTTCCTAAAGTTTCATGGCACTCGGATGAACCGCATCCGAGTTTTATTTTTTATATACCGTGTATAGAGAAAAAAAATCGCTCCCCCTGGGGGCGCCGCCCTTGCAATATTAAACAATATTTTTTTGCAGAACCCTACCATTGAGTGATCTAATCATCTCCCCAAAGTTTCATGGTACACGGATGAACGATGTGAAACCGAAATAGACTTTTATTTTTATAAACCGTATATAGAGAAAAATCGGACCCTCCCGTGGCGCCGCCCTTGCGAAATTAAAAATTATTTTTTTACAGAACCTTTTTCTAGAGTGGTATAATGAACTCCCCAAAGTTTCATGCCTATCGGATGAACGGTGTCACTGCAATTCACTTTTATTATTTTTATATACCGTATATAGAGAAAAATTGGACCCTCCCGTGGCGCCGCCTTTGCGAAATTAAAAATTATTTTTTTACAGAACCCTTCCCTAGAGTGGTATAATGAACTCCCCAAAGTCTCATGGCTATCGGATGAACGATGCCAAACCAAAATCGACTTTTATTTTTATATACTGTATATAGAAAAACAAATCGCGCCCTGCCGGGGCGCCACCCCTGCGAATTTGAATTTTTTTTTTTCGCAGAAACCTCCCCAGGAATATTCTCAACAACTTCCCAAAGTTTCACGGCGATGTGATGAGAGGTGTAGTAATGCATAAAGGACAGACAAACAAACAAACACACACACATACATTGCTTTATATATATATAGATTTGAAAATAAACTTGGTGAAACTAAAAGAAACCAAAAACAAAAAAAAGACAACTGACCTGTCCCCTGGGTCATCAGGCAACAAATTCCTGTCTGACATGTTTTGTTCTGTCACAGCTGTGACAGGTGCTGGTTGCACTGTCTGTGTCATGGGGTTCACATGACAACCATCTTCTTCAACATGGTTGTCACTCTCCAACCCGCTGTCTGTAGTGGTCCCACTCCATGGCCTGGCTGCCGCAGGTTGAACCTCATTATCATCATCACCATCATCATCACATCCCGCCTCATCCGTCCCCTCGTCATCACTACTCTCCATACAGTGCTGCCTGTAAGCCTCCAACAAATTTTGATCGCTCTCAGTTTGACGCAACACATCCAGGTTGACACGCTGCCTTCTCACACTGCCTGAATCTTTCTTTGGCAAATCTCGCTGGGATAATTCTACCTGTTTCTTCTGTAGGCAGGTGAGAAAAGGGTAATCTTTCTCCAGCTGTTGTTGGATGAGGGTCACTTGTTTCTCTAGAAATTTCTTCTCATCTTCAAGTTTCTGCTGTGCTTCAGTGTCCACATGATCAGCATAGCTCCGTGGGTTCAAGTCTCTTGTGACCTCAAGCTTATCCCCCACACAGGGGGCAGATTGTCCCCAAGTGGTCACCTCAGTCTCTACCTGCTTACAATCCTTTCTTGTGAGCCTATCCCCAACACAGGGGGCAGATTGTCCCCATGTGGTCACCTCAGTCTCTACCTGCCTACAATCCTTCCTTGTGCCACCAGCTGAGCAAGTGACCTTTGCTGGGGTAGAGGCTGCAGATTTTCTACGCCTGTCTGGTTTAACAGGGACGTATAAATTAGTCTGCTGGTAGAGGGCGCTGCTGATCATGGTGCTGAGTGACAGTTCTTTGCGCTGGAATTGGGCCTGTGTTGGATAGATGGGCATCAAGTTTTCAGACTCCAGTGGTGAAGATTCACCAAGGGAAACAACTTGGTGTGTTTTTGTTGAAAGTTTTCCCCCAGCAGATTGGGTTCTTTGTTTTGGCTTGGAGGTCAAGTTTTGTTTTGATGGGAGTTCAGTATGTGGGTCAAGGTCAGGGTCCTGTTCCAGGGACTTCAAGTCGACCTGCAGCTTGAAGGTCTCTGTCTTCAGGTCAGTCCTGACCTGCAGGATCTCCTGCTCAAGTAGGTCAAACTTGCTCAGGTGGGGGTCAGCTCTGGCAAGGTCAAGGTCATCATCTGAGTGGTCACTGGGCAGCTGGTCCCACATGAGGTCAGCTTCATACAGCTCCCTGTCCCTCAGGTCAACTTGACCTGGCCCACCCACAGATCTCTCTCTGGAAGCTTCCATCTTGTCTTCCTGGCACTTGCTGGCTGACCTGACCTTCTTGCCAGATTTCGACCTTTTTGACTTGCCAGTTTGACCAGCCGTCTGTTTGGGATGTTTGTACGACTGGTGTGAAGTCACATGACTTGGGTTGGGTGCACTGCTGGGTCTAGATTTAGAGGTCAAGGTCAAGCCAAGTCTGCTCTTGATCTGGTTCCTCTCTGCAAACACCTGACCACTGGCAGGACGCAGGTCCCTGTGGGCAAACAAGTGACCACTGGCAGGACGCAGGTCCCTGTGGGCAAACAAGTGACCACTGGCAGGACGCAGGTCCCTGTGGGCAAACAAGTGACCACTGGCAGGACGCAGGTCCCTGTGGGCAAACACCTGACCACTGGCAGGACGGTGGTCTCTGCTCCTGGTATCATAAACAACTCTATCAGAGTAAACTGAGGAGCTGAATGGTCGCGGCATCTTCCTGCCTGACCTACGGCTGGACTTGCCAACCTTACCTCTGGGGGGTAGATGGGGAATTGTGCTATTTTTAGAATCTTCTCTTTCAACAAGGCTGTCTGATTGGTCGGCTGCTGACCCACAAGGCTCAGAGTTATCAACATCACCAGCCTTCTTGACCAGCCCCTGTGCTGATGTATCAGTGCCTGGGTCCAGCATATTGTTGCCATGGTTACCAACATCACCAGCCTTCTTGACCAGCCCCTGTGCTGATGTACCTCTGCCAGGGTCCAGCATATTGTTGCCATGGTTACCAACATCACCAGATTTCTCGACCAGCCCCTGTGTTGATGTATCTCTGCCTGGGTCCAGCTTTTTGCTGGAATGTCTAGTTTTCTTACTGTGTGAGCCAAACCTCTTGTCTAGTTTACTCTTGGTGTCAGCCATCTTTGTTCCACGTTCCTTTGCCTGACGTTCCGCCTGATCTTGTGGCAGCTCATAGAAAACAGTGGCAGACATGGGTCTGGGTGTTTGGTTCCCCCTGTGTGCTGCATGGTTGGCTGAGGTAACCTCTTGACACAATGGGGAGAACTCAGTGGGCTGGGTGCCGGAGTTATCTGTTGAGTGGATAAAACAGGTGTGTCAAACAGACAGTAATGTCACCATGACACAGTGAATGGATGGGGTGGTCCAGTGGTAGAGCACACAGCTGGGATAGAGTTAGGCCATCTGGCTCTGTCAGGTATCTGAGCCCACCAGATTCCCTGAGCACACCCAGCTTTATTGAGTACCTGAGTCAGGGTAAGATAAGGCAGCTAGGCAATGTGCCTTTATATCCTGAGGTCTAGATACCGATGAACTCTACTCCACCTGCTATATCAGGGGTCTCCAAACTACGGCCCGCGATGTCCTCTCATCCGGCCCGCGGAGATCCTTTTGTCCACGGAAAAAACGTTTGTTGCTGATGGCTGAGGAAGTTTGCCCAGAAAAATCAAAGACATGCCTAGAAGAAACTGGCCCCCGAACTGAAATTCGATAGTTAATGCGGCCCTCGGACTGAAAAGTTTGGAGACCCCTGTGCTATATGGACCAACTATTTAAATTACTACTATACCTGAGCATGTTTTCCCTTCATTATTCCTGTCCTTTGGGGTTTGATGAGAATTCCCTCCCTTTGAATCAGCTTGACCAGTTGGGTCCCTTGGTATCAAATGATGGATTTCTTTCCCAGCTCCAACATCATCACCATCATCACCATCACCATCATCACGATGTTGACCAGCACTTGATGCAGGGCGACAAGATGACTTGCCTTTCTTGCCGTTCTCCTTCTTCAACTTGTTGTTCACAACTTTTAAACTTGTCAAGTGGCTGTCGGCATGAGCTGTCAAGTGGCTGTCTCCATGAGCTGTCAAGTGGCTGTCTCCATGAGCTGTCAAGTGGCTGTCCACGTCAGCAAACCTGACAGCTTTGGTCAGCTCGTCCCCAGCTGTTTTAGGCCTGAGCCTGGACCTGGGGCAGCTGTCTTGGCTGTTGAATGAGGTGTGGGGCCTCTTCTCAACATCAGCTGATTACATCAATGAGACATGGGTGCTACGTTAGTTATACATCAACAAAACTAACTAACAAAAAGGTTTGAAATCAACTGCTAAACAAGGTCTCAACAGCATGAGTAATATCTACAAAAGAAATATCCCAAAAGAACAAATGGGCTACCACTACAAACCCACCTCTATAGACTTAACTACAAAACTACCACTACAAACCCACCTCTATAGACTTAACTACAAAACTACCACTACAAACCCACCTCTATAGCCCTAACTACAAAACTACCACTACAAACCCACCTCTATAACCCTAACTACAAAACTACCACTACAAACCCACCTCTAAAGCCCCTAACTACAAAACTACCACTACATGCCCACCTCTAAAGCCCCTAACTACAAAACTACCACTACATGCCCACCTCTAAAGCCCCTAACTACAAAACTACCACTGCATGCCCACCTCTAAATACCTAACTACAAAACTACCACTACATGCCCACCTCTAAATACCTAACTACAAAACTACCACTACATGCCCACCTCTAAAGCCCCTAACTACAAAACTACCACTACATGCCCACCTCTAAAGCCCCTAACTACAAAACTACCACTGCATGCCCACCTCTAAATACCTAACTACAAAACTACCACTACATGCCCACCTCTAAATACCTAACTACAAAACTACCACTGCATGCCCACCTCTAAATACCTAACTACAAAACTACCACTACAAGCCCACGTCTATAGACCTAACAACAAAACTACCACTACAAGCCCACCTGCATAGACCTAACTACAAAACTACCACAACAAACACACCTCTATAGCCCTAACTACATAACTACCACTACAAACCCACCTCTGGCCTCCTGGGCTGAACTAGCTTGAGGGTCAGTGCTGGTGGATTTGGGAACATCCCATCTGGGCGGAGACTCACTGTAGAGAAGACATATATTTGAGGGTGAGTGACAGAATTCAACCTCAGACATTCATAACATAATGCACATACAGAAAGTAGATGTTGATTTGGCACATTGAGCCCTTTGGTGAAGGTGGAGTAGAGTTCATCTGGTTCTGTGGCAACATGAAAAGATGATGTGGCCAGGAAAACATCCAGGTATGTTGCATGTACTCATTAGATAGATCCTAGCTCCAAACTTATGACATTGTTTGGGGGCTGTCAACATCACTCAACCATTTGACATTTCTATTTTTATACATTTGAATAGATTATGTTACATATTATACTATACAGTTAAACATTAATTTTTAACTCTACCAGTCAACCTTGACCCCTGGTGGCTGGGGTGAAGAATCTTCAAAGCTATTGTTGAGGTCAGTGGGCAGATCTATTTCAGGATCAGGGGTGGAAGCTTCAGACGTTCTGTGCAAAGATTCTGGCAAGTCTGGGGTGTCCTGACCGTGGGGGTAGGGGGGCCCAGACAAGATGGCCTTCCACCTCTGGTAAGTTCTGCTCTCACTGGCTGAGTAGGCGCGTGTTTCTGTACAGGCAAATTGTAAGCTTAATTTAGGGGACAGGCAAATTGTAAGCTTAATTTAGGGGACAGGCAAATTGTTTTAGTACAAGCAAGTTTAATTTAGGGGCCATGCACACACTGAGTAGGGTCATCATTGTCTGGCAAAAGCCAACTTTTTTGCTCAAGGGGAAGGGAACTGGGACACAGTGGACAATATAATGTTGAAACATAACATCAGTATTCTTATATGGATTGCTGTGCTATGCGACCTAAGTGATAAGGGCTATGACTACAGAAAGAACATTTTTAAAAAAAAAAGACAAATAACAAAATAGAAAAATGGAACAGGTGGGGAGGGGAGGCTACTAGCATCAGTTTTCATTTGGTTTAGGAGATGGGGAAAAGTTTTCCTAAATTAATGATCCCTTCAGAAAATAAATTGCCAATCAAGTCTTTCTATGTTCAAGTCATGCACTATGGTCAAGTCAACTGAGGGTCAGATGGTAGAGCTAACGATTGCTAACCCAACAGTCTTGAGTTCAAATCACATGTTTGAGATGGTAGAATCTCCACTCAGCACTGATGGGTACCTGACTCGTGTGAGGAAAACCAAGGCAGCTGGGCATAAAGCTGACCCCACTATCCCTTCATATGCGGAGGTAACTGAAACACATGGTCTTGTTTCTTAATCTGCTGCATAAGTCTTGGGTACAAATGGGAAAAGATGTGGTCACTTCTTAAATCTAGTCTTAATGTGGTCAAGTTTTACTGGACTGGCCAAGACTGACCTGCAACAATCCCCCTACACTGGTGTATACTTGGTCCTGTGATAGCAACTGGTTCCAGAGATTTCATCCTGCCATCGGGGGGGGGGGGGAATACACAAATAAAGTTTCATTATGTCTAAAACAAACTAAAGGTAATTAAATTACTAACCCATGTAGACACACAAAAAATGCATGCAAAACGTTTTAATAAGAAGCTTTCATGTAATTATGCACTATTTAAATAACTAAAGTTTGAAACAAATTGGTTACTTAGAAGTGGTCGAAATTTTGCTCAGGAGTTTTTATCCATGATGGGGACAAAAGCACGACTGACAGAGGAGGCTTGTTGTAAAATAAAAGCTTGTAATAATATAATAGTAGTGTACTGAACATGTTTCCACACTTGAAATATAAAAGACCAATTGGTAAACTTTTTTACCTGGCTTTTAACAAGCGACCTCTGACATAGTTGACCTTTGGCAGTTTGTGTTCTTTCAGGATTTTGTTCATGACATGAGTGGCCATGGCAGTGCTCTCTGCCAGCTGACGGCTGGATGAGACTGGTGCCTAAAGGGTTAAAGTGTAGCTATCATCAATAGGACTAATCATGAGACTGGTGCCTAAAGGGTTAAAGGGTAGCTATCATCAATAGGACTAAACATGAGACTGGTGCCTAAAGGGTTAAAGGGTAGTTATCATCAATAGGACTAAACATGAGACTGGTGCCTAAAGGGTTAAAGGGTAGCTTTCATCAATAGGACTAAACATGAGCTGGTGCCTAAAGGGTTAAAGGGTAGCCATCATCAATAGGACTAAACATGAGTTGGTGCCTAAAGGGTTAAAGGGTAGCTATCATCAATAGGACTAAACATGAGACTGGTGCCTAAAGGGTTAAAGGGTAGCTTTCATCAATAGGACTAAACATGAGACTGGTGCCTAAAGGATTAAAGGGTAGCTTTCATCATTAGGACTAAACATGAGACTGGTGCCTAAAGGGTTAAAGGGTAGCTATCATCAATAGGACTAAACATGAGACTGGTGCCTAAAGGGTTAAAGGGTAGCTTTCATCAATAGGACTAAACATGAGACTGGTGCCTAAAGGATTAAAGGGTAGCTTTCATCATTAGGACTAAACATGAGTTGGTGCCTAAAGGGTTAAAGGGTAGCCATCATCAAAATAGGACTAAACATGAGACTGGTGCCTAAAGGGTTAAAGGGTAGCTATCATCAATAGGACTAAACATGAGTTGGTGCCTAAAGGGTTCAAGGGTAGCTATCATCAATAGGACTAAACATGAGACTGGTGCCTAAAGGGTTAAAGGGTAGCTATCATCAATAGGACTAAACATGAGACTGGTGCCTAAAGGGTTAAGGGGTAGCTATCATCAATAGGACTAAACATGAGACTGGTGCCTAAAGGGTTAAAGGGTAGCTTTCATCAATAGGACTAAACATGAGACTGGTGCCTAAAGGGTTAAAGGGTAGCTTTCATCAATAGGACTAAACATGAGACTGGTGCCTAAAGGGTTCAAGGGTAGCTCTCATCAATAGGACTAAACATGAGACTGGTGCCTAAAGGGTTAAAGGGTAGCTTTCATCAATAGGACTAAACATGAGACTGGTGCCTAAAGGATTAAAGGGTAGCTTTCATCATTAGGACTAAACATGAGACTGGTGCCTAAAGGGTTAAAGGGTAGCTATCATCAATAGGACTAAACATGAGACTGGTGCCTAAAGGGTTCAAGGGTAGCTATCATCAATAGGACTAAACATGAGACTGGTGCCTAAAGGGTTAAAGGGTAGCTATCATCAATAGGACTAAACATGAGACTGGTGCCTAAAGGGTTAAAGGGTAGCTATCATCAATAGGACTAAACATGAGACTGGTGCCTAAAGGGTTAAAGGGTAGCTATCATCAATAGGACTAAACATGAGACTGGTGCCTAAAGGGTTAAAGGGTAGCTATCATCAATAGGACTAAACATGAGACTGGTGCCTAAAGGGTTAAAGGGTAGCTATCATCAATAGGACTAAACATGGACTGGTGCCTAAAGGGTTAAGGGGTAGCTATCATCAATAGGACTAAACATGAGACTGGTGCCTAAAGGGTTAAAGGGTAGCTATCATCAATAGGACTAAACATGAGACTGGTGCCTAAAGGGTTAAAGGGTAGCTATCATCAATAGGACTAAACATGAGACTGGTGCCTAAAGGGTTAAAGGGTAGCTATCATCAATAGGACTAAACATGAGACTGGTGCCTAAAGGGTTCAAGGGTAGCTATCATCAATAGGACTAAACATGAGACTGGTGCCTAAAGGGTTAAGGGGTAGCTATCATCAATAGGACTAAACATGAGACTGGTGCCTAAAGGGTTAAAGGGTAGCTATCATCAATAGGACTAAACATGAGACTGGTGCCTAAAGGGTTAAAGGGTAGCTATCATCAATAGGACTAAACATGGACTGGTGCCTAAAGGGTTAAGGGGTAGCTATCATCAATAGGACTAATCATGAGACTGGTGCCTAAAGGGTTAAAGGGTAGCTATCATCAATAGGACTAAACATGAGACTGGTGCCTAAAGGGTTAAAGGGTAGCTATCATCAATAGGACTAAACATGAGACTGGTGCCTAAAGGGTTAAAGGGTAGCTATCATCAATAGGACTAAACATGAGACTGGTGCCTAAAGGGTTCAAGGGTAGCTATCATCAATAGGACTAAACATGAGACTGGTGCCTAAAGGGTTAAAGGGTAGCTATCATCATTAGGACTAAACATGAGACTGGTGCCTAAAGGGTTAAAGGGTAGCTATCATCAATAGGACTAAACATGAGACTGGTGCCTAAAGGGTTCAAGGGTAGCTATCATCAATAGGACTAAACATGAGACTGGTGCCTAAAGGGTTAAAGGGTAGCTATCATCAATAGGACTAAACATGGACTGGTGCCTAAAGGGTTCAAGGGTAGCTATCATCAATAGGACTTAACATGAGACTGGTGCCTAAAGGGTTAAAGGGTAGCTATCATCAATAGGACTAAACATGAGACTGGTGCCTAAAGGGTTAAAGGGTAGCTATCATCAATAGGACTAAACATGAGACTGGTGCCTAAAGGGTTAAAGGGTAGCTATCATCAATAGGACTAAACATGAGACTGGTGCCTAAAGGGTTAAAGGGTAGCTATCATCAATAGGACTAAACATGAGACTGGTGCCTAAAGGGTTAAAGGGTAGCTATCATCAATAGGACTAAACATGAGACTGGTGCCTAAAGGGTTAAAGGATAGCTATCATCAATAGGACTAAACATGAGGAATATATTTTAACATGACAAATACAAGTTTAGATGAGAAATATTTGTTAAGATGAGAAATACTAGTTTAGCTTAGAAATTTGGGTTGGCATTGTCTGGATGGTAACACTCACGGCTGCTAAACATGAATTCAAACAAAAACAGATGAGGCTCAATAGCTGAGGAAAGCAACCTGTCAGGGACAGTTAACTCCAAATTCAAACAATTGCTGCCTTGTAGTTTGTTCTTGGATAGACAACGGTTATGGTAGTAAATCCAGAAAGAAAAGCAGGCAGAAATCTGAGCTAACAGCATATATAGAGCCTAACATGTTGACATTGAATTAAGTTGAAGGAAATCATGTCTAATATTACAATTAAGAAAAAAAAATGAGAAATACGAGTTTACAAGAGAACAATGTTTTTTTTAGATGAGAAATCTAAGCTTACATGAGTTTTCTCTGGCTTGAATCTACTTTGTTTGAAAGGCATCTTGACTTTAGGGTTTGGTTTGGGTGGTTTGAGCACAGGGGATGTGTAGGACGAGGCTGAACTGACCCTCAACTGACCAGCAGAAAACCTGTAGAAGATGGTGATAAGACTTTTTTTACAGCTATTCATTGTGATAGGGACATTGTGATTGGCTGGAAGAGTGTTCATCTGCTAACCAAAAGTTTAAAGTCCAGACTTAAGTCTGCAGTAGGTCCTAGAGTCCATTACGGAAAATTAACATGGCTTGACTTAGTGCTGACCACACCATCCTTTCATAAGCCGAGCTCAAGATACATTAACTCTACTTCATCTGCCTTATGGATTGTTAAGTCTGAAAAGGGAACTTGACATTAATTGTGGTGTGAAAACAGCGTCAATTAGCCTCCACGATATGTGACGTAAGCATAAAAAACAATATGTAAGTGCCCAGCTGGGTGACAAGGTTTAACCAACCAGGACAACTAGCAAACTTTCAGGTGACTGACCTTGAAAAAGCAGGTGTTCTATTCCCAGCACTAGAGCACCTGGACTCACAACCAGGGGTGGGGGGACAGTTTCTGCTAGGTGCCATGTTGGGTGTGGCTGTAAGAAAAAAAAATTGGAGTATTTGAATAGCTCAAGAAAACAGGAATAAAGCTAAAACAAAACACAGCAGGTATGATTTTTTTAAAATCTAGTTCTAAAACAATGAGGTTGATTTATTTGATAACTGACTGTTTAGGTATAACTTTTTTGTACCCTGAACTTGATTCTCCAAGTTTAGTTTTCTATTGGCATTTGGCATCATGTCTACTGAGAGAAATGTTGAGCCCTGTTGCTAAATATACAAGAGTAAATCACCACATGTAGAGACATTTTTAGCATACATTAAACACCTATTTATTTTTTTATTTAAGATTTATAAATATATTAATTGTAATTTAGTTTAAAGAATCCTTATTTCTAAAAATCCAAGGTTTAAATAAAACCAAACAACTACCTCATGTTCTTTCAATGGTCTAGCTCGACTGGCTATTGATGACCTTAGAGCTGAGTTGTTGGCCCTAGCAGGTTTCTGTAGCCTGGGTGTGTGTGAGGAGAAGAAACTGTGGTCTGAATAGGCACTGTCTGTGGAAATAGCAATAATATTTTTTAGGTATACTAATTAAACAAACATTTTAAGGAAAAACAAATGATCAAGCTTGAAATGTTTCTGTCTTATAGCTTGAATAAAAACTCTGCAAAACACAGCTTTGTTACTAAATTGTATCTATAATGTCGTTAAATTTTATTTTTCGATAAACTAGATTCATTTCTATTTGTTTTTTCTTTCTTTCAATTTGTCTTTTTAAATTGTACTTTAAGTTATAGAACCTTAGTACATTTTAACTGTAATTTTGTGTACAAATCAATTTGATTAATTTTATATAAAGGTTATTGTTACATTAAAGTCACCAGCCTTAACCTTTGTAATATAGCCACAATAGTGGTCTAATATCTACAAGTAGATACTTGAACAACTGTACCTGATCTTCTAGGCACAGTGTATAACATCAAATCCAAATCTTTCTCAGCCATTTCAGGGTCAGGGTCATTTCTAGCAACATCAGCCCCACAGTTAGAGAACTCTTGAAACTGTATGGATCTGTTTTCATATTTAGAATGTCTTTCCTTTCTAGAGCTGGCCACAGTGGTGCCAGGGTTATTCTCATCAGCAACTGGATCATATGCTAAAGCTGACATTGTTTACCTGTTAAATAATTCTCTGATATCAGTAAAAGTGAATGTGTCATTAACACAATAGTGAGTGAACTGCAACCTGTAGATCCTACTCAAGATATATATATATATAGTATTGATATCCTGACATTAACATTAGCAATAGCAGAAGTGAAAAACCTTGGTAAAATACTGTATTGTCCAAATCCTGTCTTTTTAAGGAAACTGACATAATTACCAGCAGTGTTGTGTGGAGATTTTACTGATTCTGGACATACCACTAAAGTTAAAAGGTAGCCTCAAATTCATTGTTCTTGTGGGTAAACTTTATTAAAGTTTAAAATAGCAGATTTAAGTTAAGTTTGGCCATAATTATATTACTAAATTATTTTGTATTAAAAAAAAATAGGGGTCAAGTCAGTAAAGCTCATGGTTGCTAAACCGAAAAGTCAATGAATGATCTGAACCATGTTTAATTTTCACAACAAGGAATCATTATGAACTAAAAATATGAATGTCTAAAATTTTAGTCTTCAACAGAGCATAATTTTCATTTTTTGATTAATGGGATTGAAAATAAACCTCACTAGACTAGAATATTTGAAAAAACTATAGGCCCTACACTTGAGAAAAAAGTACAAACCACATAGATGTAGGCCTATTATTACTAATTTCATTAAAATAATGTAGGTGCCTAATTAGTACCTAGATCTAGATCTACTACTACTATACACTATACTAGTATTACTAATACTAGGCACGGACAATTTCACAAAAAGAATTTAGAATATTAGGCCTATCCTATATAGATCTAGATGTAATATTCTAGGCTATCTGATCAAAAATTTATAAATTTAAACTCAGTTTAAAACCTGTAGTTTCTCCCAATCGTGCTTGCCTTCTATTTAAAGCCGCAATTAATTTTATAGACTAGTTACGGCTTAATGGACTTTTTCAATTTTTTAACTCAAGGAAATGAAACTGGGTGGCCATATTTGTTTATAGCTGTTATTTGGTCAGAAACAAGACCTACGCATCCGCAAAAAAATATAATTTCAAAAGTTAATAACTTTCTTTCGTTAGAATGTAAACTGATTTTATAAAATATTAATAAAACTAAAAATAAGGAAAAATAGATTTTAAAAATAGTTTTTTTAGAATTTTAAAATATTGAATTTGTGTATTACAATTTGATGTATTACTTCGACAATACTCTACCTCTTCTTTCTTAGGAGGACAGGACTTTTTAGCCTCAGACGACATGCAGAAACAGTTTCGAATTTTTACCGTGAAATTAAACGTCTAAAGAACCAAAACATTACATCATTCCTTATTCCAAAACATCAGAAAACAATACAAACTTGATATATAACAAGATCTTTTATTTATATTTTTTTTCGCAATCATAAATCATATTTTATATCTATAGAGGCTGATGTATCATTTTCTTTTTTTTCCGGATCGTTCTGTTGTGTAGTCGATCAGTGTTTCGTCCAGACTTTTTTCTCCGGGGGGGCACTTGAAATTTTCGGGGGGGGGGGGGCGGTAGACTTTCTTCGGGGGGGGGCGGACACAGTTAAAAGTATATATTTTCTATATAAATTATATAAATTTCATTTCGTTCGGGGGGGCGGTAAAAAAATTTCGGGGGGAGCTTCGCCCCCCCGAAGAGATGCCTGGAAGAAACTCTGTAGTCGATTGACATTATTTGATGCTTTTTCATTTCACAATTTAATATCTTTAATGACTAAAATGAATAATACACTAGATCTAGCTGCAGACCAACATTGAAATCTGTTATAAATTGTTTTTTAAGAGTAGGCTGTAACTAATTTTAAGAGAAACACAACTGTGTAGTAGGCCTATATGTGTATATTTGTTTTCATTAAACCATATTAAGTCATTAATATTGAAAACTCGGGGTACAGTAAAGCCTAGGCTCATATAATGACTCCTTAATAGACCCAGCAATAATTACAATAGGCTTATATTGGATTTAGCTTTAGACATATCTAGATCTATAATTTTTTTAATTAGTTAAATGTGTTTCTAAATTAAAAGAAACTCCCCGTATCCTTCTGGGTTATTTGAAAGTAGGCCAACAGAGAGCTGTCATTAATTTCGAAACAACTCATTCGTGTAAAACAGTTACATTTAGTATTTAGTGTAGATCTAGGCTACTAGCTCGTTATAGATGTATAGTCTTTTATAGCTGGCTGATATGTCGCTTTCTCTTTTCTTGAACACGAAGCAGCTGTAGAAACGTTCGCCTAAACTTCGTGTTGGTCAAGACGTAGATGACGAAGTTGACGGAGCCGTTGACACACAGCACGAACTGCAACACATTGTAAACAAACACGGCTGTCGTGTTGGGCGCGTCCGCTGAAAAAAAGGGGAAAACCTTGATCTGGGGGAAGATGGCGGGCAGGGAGACGAAAAAACAGGCGACCGAGTAAAACACGCAGACGGACAGCAGCGTTTTCGTCGTCCTCGACATTGGTTTCGACTTGAGTCTTGACGTTTCTCTATCCCTTGAGGTCGAGGAAAACCGCGTCATGTTTTTTCTCGCCAAGGACGCGACCTTGACTTTGACCCCGATGGCGAGACAGCCGGCGGTCACCACCGAGAAGGGGATGACGGTGGACGTGTACATCTTCTCGATGACGTCAGACACGGCCTGCTGTTGCCAGAACAGGTCTGACCGCTTGACCAGCCCGACGCTGACATTGAGCTTAGGGTCAAGGACGTAGGCAAACTGGAACCACGCCCGTGCGTAAAACTGCAGGCCGAAGCAGAAGACGTAGACCAGGCAGACGGCAGCCAGGGTTCGTCTGGGCGTCACGATACGAGCAAACTTGAGCGGGAAAAACACGGCTATCATCCGCTCTACTGTAATCAACGTCGGCAGCCCCATGGACGTGGTGCCCCCGCCCCAGTCCAGGACATCGAACACGTGATACAGGTAGTAGCACACCCGTGCGACGCCCTCGGGGAACACAAAGCCCTCCTGGCGCCCTGAGAAGTACAGAAGCTTGAGCACACTGTTGGCACCGAGCATGAAAGCGAGGTCTGACAGTGCTAGAGCGAAGAGCAGGATGTTGGAGCTTTTCTTAAAGCCTTGTGTGGCCAGCACCACTAGACTCACGCTGTTACCAAGGACGCCGAGTACAGCGACACCTGGAGTCAGGATGTAGACGAATGTCCAGTTGACAAGGGAAATAAGATCCATTCTTGTCCATTGGTCTGCCAGAGTTGTCGCGCCTACCAGCAGATCAGAGAAATAGTCTCCTACAACATATACTAGACTGGCCCAACAGCTAAAAACGCTTACATTCCGTCATTCGAATTTATGCCAAGAACAATCGACTACTTAACAACCAAGATACGGAAAAGAAATGTTTTAATTCTACAATTTACTTAAAGAATGAACAAGCCAATTTTATTATTTTCGTTTACCGCATATAAACAACATCCATTATAGTTACGTTCACATAAAAGGTTAATTTCACTTTGTACTTGAACGGGGAAGGGACATAACTCCAAGAAAGTTAATATTTGATTATTTGATTTTTATGTCACGCAAACATTCTCGGTACGATAAATAAATCTTATTATTGATCAAGGTCAAATATAGGGTTTTTCAAAAATTGTCTCGAGGTCAATATTTTCTAACGACAAGGAAGATGTAGGGCTTTAACATCTAATCATGTATGCAGAGATAATTAGGTCTCTGTTCCCCCCCCCCCCCCATCCCCCACCCACAGAATTAAATAAAGGTTTGCTGTGCTAGTAGGTTATGCAGGTTTGTGTCTACATCGATAATTAAATATTTTAATAGCATTGATTAGCTACATTGTTTAGTTTCAATATATAATTTTCTAGGACTATCATTATCAAAACACGTCTATTAAACATTGATAAATGGAAATTAATAGTTTTAATTATATACATTTACTTGTTCAATACATTTTATTTTTCACGAGTAACATAATTTAGTAGAGTTAAAGACATGTGGACTTAGAAGTTAATCAGTTTGTTTAAGGTTTTAGTTTGTGGTTTTCACATGTGGTAGAGTGTGTGTATGTATAGGGATGGTAGGTGAATACTCAGGTGTATGACGGTAGTGTTCAATATATTTTTAGTTCAGTTCCCTGTAGTTTGAGACCAAATTATGTGCTCAAAATATCGAATGTTGTATACTTTTTAATGCTTCGGTATGCCTAAACCCGTCTATGTGTTCTTATTAAACTCAAGTTTTGTAATTGTTTAATACCTTAGTTCCTTTTTAAACTACTGAATTAATTCATTCCGCCCGGAGATTCAGATATTATTTTATCTTATTGTATGCTCTGTTGTGGCTGCTCACATCAATATTAGAATCAGAAGCGTAGCGCCGGGGGGGGGGGGTTACATATGTCCTCGGGCGCCGACCGTAGAGGCGCTAAAATGGGTAGGAAAAAAATTAAAAAGCTCATTTTAGCTGCAGTTTTGAATTATAAATACAAAAAAATATATGGGGGTGTTCGCCAAATTGAAAGTTTGTCCCCGGGCGCCGGGAGGGGTCGCTACGCCTCTGATTAGAATGGAAATCTCTGCCCGTTATTGCAGGTCATTGTGGTTGGTACAATTTGTGCAGATATTTTCTTCTCTCAGTCTTAGACTTAGAGGTTACCTCTGCCCAATCCCCCTCGCCCATGAGGGTGCCGGTCCGCACGGCACAATGTGTTGGGCCACATGTGTTCATGTAAGTCTGTTTGCCCTGGGTGCCCTGTGTTCTATGGGGGTTAGGTAAATTATGTAGTTCGTGTTGTGGGTTATTTATTATGTAGGTTATGTGTCATACATGTTGTGCTTTGTCTTGGTTGTGTATTATTGTATGGGGCTTTTAGCCATTATAATTAGAACATATAATATAACAAAACAATTCAAACACTGCAACAGTCTAAGTCCTAGCGCTCAGAGCAAACAACACACACACATGGTTCAATAGGACACTTTATTTTATCTCCATGACCGCCTCACCCATGGCAACACGTGTATTCCATCTCCATGACCCCCTCACGTTGACCGCTGGCAAGTTTTCGTATCGGTGACCACCAGGGGGGTCACGACGTCTGTGACGGGGGTCTGATCCCACCCCCCGGGGAAGCGAGTACCGTCAGACTTGTTGCACTGCATGGAGAGGGGGGAGGTGGCGTACAGGTCCTGGAGCAGCGCCACGTTGTTGCTGCTCCACTCCACGTGCCGGTAGTTGCTGCGGTCTCCTGCATCCGGGTAAACGGCCTCACCCTCCAGTCTGGCACAGAGACAGGTTGGGATTGTACTCACTTTTTAAACACAACAATAAGACAATCATACATCTGTTCTTTTTTTTTACATTTGTGCACAAGACACACGAGGCAGATGAAGTAGAGTTAATCTGTTGTTTCAATGACCTCGGCATACAAGAGGATAGTGTGGTCAGCACTATACCCAGCCGCTTTTGTTTCCCTACCTTATGTCAGGTACCCATCAGAGCTGGGTGGACTCAGGGACGTTCTACAATCTAGAGCCCGGGATCCGAACTCGAGATTTAGGCTAGCGCTCTACGGCTCGGCCACGTCATCCCCATAAAACATTCATTACCTATCCAAAATTATTATAACTAACATTTTCATTAACAGGTAGTAGGTGTAGAACACTTTTTGAGTAGATAGAAGAAGGTATATAACTCACCTGTTGAGCAGGTAGAAGAAGGTATATAACTCACCTGTTGAGCAGGTAGAAGAAGGTATATAACTCACCTGTTGAGCAGGTAGAAGAAGGTATATAACTCACCTGTTGAGCAGGTAGAAGAAGGTATGTAGCGCCTCTGTTTGGACGGAACTCTTGCAGACCTCTAGCATCGACCTGGGGTAGTAGTGGATGTAGTTGAGACACATCTCGTCTGTGATGGAGAACCCCCCCTGTCAACAAACATGGCGGCCGACAGTTAGAGAGGCACCTGTCGACTGTGACGTTATCGTCACATCGTTTACATTACTCACACCTTCGAGGTAAAGATGTGGTGGATTTGCAAAGTCAGAACATTTTTTAAGCTGTTTTCTTTTTCAATTTATGAAGCGTCATTATTTACGCATTAAATGCTCGTGAAAATCAATTTTAAAGGGAGGATAATTTGATATCCAAAGCACAATTATAATTAGTTTTAAAATGAAGAGAATTGGCTCCCTTTATGCCTTCTGTGTTGGATGTTACGTGAATGCGACATCACTGAATTCAAGTGTAAAGCTCTAGATCTATGAGTCCTTCAAACTGCAATTCTTACAAAATAACAACTTCTAAACAAATGCTGACTCTTCTCAATGTGGCCAGATTAAGCGAGGAAGGACGGGATGGGCTATAAACAGAACAAGGAAGTGACGACATCTCTACTCACAACTGTCGCGTGTTTCCTGCTCCTTGTGTCATACTCGCAGGTAGTGATGAGGTCATCGCCCTGGGAGACATACGTCATAAGCAGGTGAGAGGTGGGTCAGTGGTTAGTTTGGGGAGGTCACTGGTAACAGACTTACAGGTAAAAAACTTTTAGGTAAGACAGACTTACAGGTAAGACAGACTTGGAAGTAAAACAGACTTTTAGGTAAAACAGACTTACAGGTGTGACAGACTTATAGGTAAAACAGACACAGAGATAAGACATACTTACAGGTGTGACAGACTTACAGGTGTGACAGACTTACAGGTAAAACAGAATTACAGGTAAAACAGACACAGAGATAAGACAGACTTACAGGTGTGACAGACTTACAGGTGTGACAGACTTACAGGTAAAACAGAATTACAGGTAAGACAGACTTGGAGGTAAAACAGACACAGAGATAAGACAGACTTACAAGTGTGACAGACTTACAGGTGTGACAGACTTACAGGTGTGACAGACTTACAGGTAAAACGTGCACCGTCTCCCAAAGTCTGCGGATCTCCTGGAAGTGGGGGCTGTAGTGGTTGTCCCTGTTGAGCTCCGCCAGCTCCACCCCGCCCCTCACGTGCCTGGTGTAGACACGCCTACCTGTCAGGTGGGTGTGGAGCTGAGAGGCGAACACGTGAATACCCTGAGCAGGTAGACCCTGGGGAGAAAGGTGAGTACATCTCGCACGCGTGTATGGCGGGTCAATTCATGCAGATAATAAAACCCCACCCTACCACGGGAGTGTTGGGCTCTACCCCCTATCCCACCAACTCTCCAGCTGACCATCATGAGACCCTAAAAACGTTACTCTTCGAACCTGCCATGCATGGGTCAGATGAAGTAGAGTTCCCCTGTTATAGGAGATAGTGTGGACTCATCACTAAGATAACTCAGGGAAGTGCTACACTCAAGTCCGGTATCTGAACTCGAGACTTTTGGGTTAGCAGTCGTACGTTCTACCATTCCACCACGCCGTCCTAAACATTGTACCATGCTACACAATTCAGAGAAGGACAAACTCTAGGATATTGAACGCTCTGGGGGGGGGGGGGGGGGCCTCGAGCTTGTAGTCAGGCGTGTAGAAGTGGAACGTTCTGAACTCCCCCCCCCCCGCCCACCTACTCACCACCCGTGTGCAGTCCCCCGCCCACCAACTCACCATCCGGGTGCAACCCCCCCCCCACACACACACACCAACTCACTCACCACTCCGGTGAAGTCGCCCCCCCCCCCACCACTGCACAGGTGCTGTCCTTTCCCCCCCCCCCCCCCCCACCAACTCCCTCCCCTGGTACTGTCCCCCACCAACTCCCTCCCCTGGTGCTGTTCCCCCCCCCCCCACCAACTCCCTCCCTTGGCTCTGCCCCCCCCCCCACCAACTCACCACCCTAGTGCTGCCCCCCCCCCCCACCAACTCACCACCCTAGTGCTGTCCCCCCCCCCCCACCAACTCACCACCCTAGTGCTGCCCCCCCCCCCCCACCAACTCACCACCCTAGTGCTGTCCCCCCCCCCCACCAACTCACCACCCAGGTGCTGTTCCCCCCCCCCACCAACTCACCACTCTAGTGCAGGCGTGCACGCAGTACCCCGTCAGTTGGAAGACCGCCTGCCCTGGAGGCACCGCCATCTTGTTGGTGTACTCCAGCCCCAGCTCCATGATGCCGGCGTCGTACTGACGCAGCTGTGACGTCACGTGAAATCTCAGGCCGGACTTGTCCATACGACCTGGGAGAAAGTGGCCGACATGTTGGCGATCTCGTCTGCTCACGGTGTGGTGTGTAAGGGTTCGGGTTGGGCTTAGGGTAGGGTTGAAATGTGGGTCATGTCAAGCATTCAGTTTATTGACAGGTTTTGGTTCGGGGGGGGGGGGGGGGGAAGGATGGGGGGGTAAGTATATAGGGGGGTATTTGGTTCTGCGTTTAAGTGTAGAGGTTCTAGTTACTATTATTGGACTACCGTCTCTATGCGCAAACAGATTATATTTAAACCGTTTCTTTGCGATTATTTAGGCTAAAAGCTGAAGTAACGCTATTTACATTTGTTTCGTTTAAAGTTGTTGGTTTTTTTTGTATTTTTCTTGTTTGACGTAAAGCTGTGTTACAGCTATGTCAGGGAAATTTTAACTGTAAATATAAATTTTGCCAGTACGGCTAACCAACCCACTCTTTTAAAAACTTTGACGGAAGTGACGTCATTACATCTGGGTAGGACTCACCCTTCATCCTCCTGGGGTTGTTGTAGTGAACCTCTAAGAGCGCGAACCTGGAATAACCTTTGCCCCCGATGGGGACGCCTGCCTCTTGAGGGTAGACCATCGCCTGGAGGGAGAGGAGCAATTGACGTATGTGGTTTCTTTCATGGCTTCTGGGTGTGGCATCGCTACCCGGTTATTTTACACAACTACTGTCACTCTACTTCAACTACTGTCATAAATGACCTTCGCCCCCACACAACTACTGTTACTCTACTTCAACTACTTTTACGAGCCAACATTCTCGATTGACCTCCAACCCCCACTCAACTAGTAACTCTACTTCACCTACAGTCATAACTGACCTCCGCCCCCATAGCCCAGGCTCCTATGACCTTCCTGCAGACGTCCAGCCCCTCAGGCTTGTCTTCTGCTAGACCCGGACCGTTGTAGTATGGTATTCTCTCGCCTAGTGGGGGTAGCAAAAGAGAAAAAAAATTAAGCAGACGGTGTCGTTTGTTTAACGTGATGGTGTTCTTACATCTATAAGTTCACCTCAACGTGACCTACCCACCTCTGGTCAGTTCACAGTGAAACACCTCCATGTGATGCACTAGGTCCTCACTACCCTCTGAAATGATTCCTTCATACTTGGGTGGTTGAACCAGGGTGTCAATAGGTCATCGAATAGGTCATCGTGCAGGTCATGGTGCAGGTCATGATGCAGGTCATCACAAATGTCATGAAACAAGTAGGCACGGGGATTTGAAACAAACGAAAGATGAATTGTATGGAACATTAATCAATAGGACACTTCAGCAATACAATATTGTAATAGAAGGAAATATTGGATATTATTTAGCTGGACATGGCTGAACTTGACTGGTATTGTTTAGTTATAGCTGGACAATTTTAATCTTTACTAGCACAACTCTTCTTTTATTGATTACTCAAGTGTAGCTCAGATTAATTCAGTGAAAGTATTTAGACTCACTATATCTTAGTCCAATTTCAACCATCATTATCTGCCTGTGACGTAACAAGTCTTCCTACCTGTATGTTGTGACGTAACAAGCCCGCCTACCTGTATGTTGTGACGTAACAAGCCCGCCTACCTGTATATTGTGACGTAACAAGCCCGCCTACCTGTATGATGTGACGTAACAAGCCCGCCTACCTGTTTGTTGTGACGTAACAAACCTACCTACCTGTGGGATGTGACGTAACAAACCTACCTACCTGTGGGATGTGACGTAACAAACCTACCTACCTGTGGGATGTGACGTAACAAGCCCGCCTACCTGTATGATGTGACGTAACAGGTCCCCCTACCTGTATGTTGTGACGTAACTAGCCCGCCTACCTGTATGATGTGACGTAACAAGCCCGCCTACCTGTATGTTGTGACGTAACTAGCCCGCCTACCTGTATGATGTGACGTAACAAGCCCGCCTACCTGTATGTTGTGACGTAACTAGCCCGCCTACCTGTATGATGTGACGTAACAAGCCCGCCTACCTGTATGTTGTGACGTAACTAGCCCGCCTACCTGTATGATGTGACGTAACAAGCCCGCCTACCTGTATGTTGTGACGTAACAAGCCCGCCTACCTGTATGGTGTGACGTAACAAGCCCGCCTACCTGTATGTTGTGACGTAACAAGCCCGCCTACCTGTATGATGTGGTGTGGCTGAGGTATGTCTGGCAGCAGCGTCGTGTGCCACCAGTAGGTGGTTTCCTCCCCTGGCACCAGCACCTCTTGCGCCACGACGTCAAACGTCCACGTGTCTTCTGGAAATTTCGGCTTGACCACTTCCGGTTTCAGCAGCTGTGACCTCTGCACCGAGTGACGTAGCTGCGTGACGTCAGTGCCTAAGGGAATCTCCGTTGGTTGAAGGGACTCGATGCAGACAATATGTGTCGTGCCGTTCTACATACATAACAAAAGCACATCTCAGTTACCATAGCAACATTTCATTTCTTTACATGTCTTGATTTTTTTTTAAAAATACATATCATCGAGACCCGATAAAGATGGAACTAATGATTGCAGTATATTAAGTGAAAACAGTTATTTATCTGGGAATAAATTGTGGATTTTTTCAGTGATTTTTTTTTAGTTGTTTTTAATTAATTTACAATACATGTATTCGAGATCCGAATAGTGATTCGAGATCCGAACAAAAAAAAATTTCCTCACATCCAGCCGGTAATCTCTGACGTCACATGTGTCGAACGGTCGCGTGAAGTCCAGCACCACCGCCCCGGGGCGGGAGGAGACTGACGTCAGCTGGTAGCTCTGGTGGTCGTCTGCCCGCAGGATGCCCCGTCTGTCTGTGTGTCCGTCCTGAAACAGTGTACCGACTGGTGAACAACAGATCACTCACAACTAACAACAGGCGAAACAACAAGTACAGATCGCTCACAACAAGCACAGATCACTCACAGCAAACAACAAGCCAAGATCACTCACAACAAAATGATGATTCCCTCCCTTGTCTGTCCAGAAGACAGCGAGGTCAGCGAATGTGACGTCACCGTAGTCTGAAAAACCAACGGCGAACCAGGTATCGGCGTCAACCTGCAGAAATGACGTCAAGCAAAAGATGAATGGGTTTCGTCGTATCAGCTGGTACAATAGTTCACAGTGAATCAACCAGTTGCAAAATCTGTCGGGCGACAGGCAATAAATGAAAGAAATAATTCTGTTCGAGTTTCCATTGTCAGTGTCAGTTATTAAGCATAAAATTTCACTGAAATAACATGAAATTAAATAATTCGGGAGTGATCTCCCCTAAACTTTCTCGAATATTCTTAATCAGTAGAGAATGTTAGATCTTTTACTTGTATATGAAATTTCGTTATTCTATGTGAAACAGTACTCAAGTTATGTGCTTTTGAAAAACTATGAGTAGCATAAGTTCCACTTCCGGTTATCGGAAATCGTTGAAAAGTTGATACAGAACTACAAATTTGATATAATACTTATATATGAAATTCCATCAACCTAGCTGTAACGGTAATCAAGTTATCTGTTCACAGACATACATTCATCGACACACACAGACATACGGACAGAATTGCAAAAGCCCAATTTTCCCCCATTCGATTACGCATAGAACGCTGAAATTTTGATAAATCTGCATTTACAAATCTTGGCCGATTAAAATAAGTCCCATATACTCTTTATATGATGAAGTACTGAGGTGTGCAATGATGAAAACTGTCAAAATTTGAATTGTGTGCTAGATTACAATGCTACCTCTATACTCTGTATATGAGAATGTAAGAATGGATTAAAAATCATGTCTATATCCAGAGATACCATCCCCGTAGTTTTATAAAAGAATATTCAAGAAATTTTAGGGGAGATCACTCCCGGTTTATTTTTGTTCAAAGGGCCATTTGCATGTGGTGTGGTCTATTCTAATTCATTTTTTCCACACCACAGTATAGCCACGACGTGTGTGGTGGGCGTGGATTGAGCGGGGGTGGGGGTATAATCACGTGACCACTACTCTCTCGTGCACGTGAATGGACGACGTCAAAAGCTCGGCCATTTTTGTAAACTAATCTTCTGCTCAATGGCCATCGTCTGCGATTACCCATCACTGGCATTTCCCGCGCTGGACTCTCGTCTGTCAGACGCAGGACGTCTGATGACGTGTTTGACTGGCCGGACCGGCGCGCGCACAACTGTCCGGAAATTGAACGCTTCAAGTCAGGGGCCGGTCGTTGGAGCGCATGAATGAGGGAGTAATCATTGACTGAAAACTTGATGAGTTTTGTGTGGGATAATACAGCACATGTCCACACAACGTGGGATAATACAGCACATGTTCACACAACGTGGGATAATACAGCACATGTCGTCACAACTTGGTATAATACAGCACATGTCGTCACAACGTGGGATAATACATGTCCACACAACGTGCAATAATACAGCACATGTCCACACATCGTGGGATAATACAGCACATCGTCACAGCTCGGGATAATACATGTCCTCACATCGTGGGATAGAAAAACACATGTCCTCACATCTTGGGATAATACAGCACATGTCGTCACAACTTGGGATAATACAGCACATGTCCTCACATCGTGGGATAATAAAACACATGCTCTCACATCGTGGGATAATAAAACACATTCCCTCACATCTTGAGATAATAAAACACATTCCCTCACATCTTGGGATAATAAAACACATTCCCTCACATCTTGGGATAATAAAACACATGCCCTCACAACGTGTAATTACTTTACTATCTTACATTTGACATCTACATACTTTAACCAAACATAAAAAACGACATAGTTGAAATATTAATTAGCAAATTCAGAAATAACTGCTATATATCATAGTACAGCTGTTGGCAAATTATGCAACTTGCTTGACCTGCAATAATTTTAAGTTTAAATACACAGTGTCTACTATTTTCTGCGCACCAAAAGTGATATAAGATTTTTTGACAAATCAGAAATAGCATAATGTACTGCTTCCGCTCACCGGAAATCATTCAAAATTTGAAGGAATCAATAGAATAAGATCTTATACCTATGTATAAAATTTAGTCTACCTACCCCGAACCTTATGTTATCGGTATTTTAGAAACCGGGAATAGAGAAAAGTACCACTTCCGGATATCGGAGGTGACCCAAAATTTGACAGTAAGCCAAGTATAAGATCTTATGGTTATTTTTGAAATTTCGTGTAACGAACAGAAACAGTACTCAAGTTGTCGTGTTCACACCGTGTTTAAGTACCACTTCAGGTGACTATAAATCGTTCAAACGTTGGCAGAAACCTGTACATACAATCTGTTTCTTATATTTGAAATTTCGTACACATATTTAACTTGTGCGGTTCTTAATATATTGTCTTTTGAATAAACGGAAGTGCAGTAAGTACCACTTCCGGTTACCGGAAATTGCTCATATCTTTATTGAAATTTACAATGTCTATTACATACTTTAAAAATGGAATTTTCTCAAGCTAACTGAAACGGTACTCAAGTAATCCTATGTTCATATACACACACACAGACAGATTGCAGACCACAGGTTGTAAAACGTCAACATTTGTCAAAATCCCGATTTAGAAAAAGTGCACGATTGAAATACATCCTTTACATTCCGTCTAATGTAAAGTACAAAAGTAACGTTTGAATTAACGCAATCTTTTGGTCATGAAATGTTCACATCGTCAGCCTCATAACCACGGTAAGAGCAACCTATAGAAGCATGAGGGGGGGGGGGAGAGAACAGAGGTGTAGCGACCCCTACCGGCGCCCGTGGAAAAACTTTCAAATTGGCGCCCCCCCCCCATATATTTTGTATATTTCTAATTCAACATAGCAGCTAAAATGAGCTTATTTTGGTGTCCCTAGGGTCGGCGCCAGGGGATATATGTACCCCCCTACCCCCGTCGCTACGCCTCGTGGAGAGGTTATGGACGTGTATGGAGCAAGAGTGACCGACAAAGCCACTTACACATCTCTAATATAAATGGCTAATTTGTTGGTTAATAATTGGCTATTTTTTTTTTAAAAAGGTGAAATAAAATATTATGAAAGAAAACGTTTTGATTTTCGTCGGAGAAAAATTCATGCAAATGTAGTAAAAACAACCGATTTTCTTTAAAAATGGGAAAAGTCACATTAATACTGCAGTAAGTCGTCATATGTTTTAGAATTGAGTCATAATCTGTTACAGGCAGATGCCGATGTTAGCTGTGGCACAGAACTCGACTTACCGACAACCAAACACCCGACATCAAAACTGAGACGTTTAATCTCAAATATGAGATGGAAAGTTTAAGGCCATCAACTTGGATGGGAAAACGTGAAGCAGCAGATAAAGAAACCAGCTTGATATGCAAGCATTACAGGAAACGTGGGGGATTCACAGTTTCTTTCACATCCACACCCCCCCCCCCCCTCCTCACCGCCAAGGAGGACATGTTTTTAAAAATATAATTTATATATAGATAACATATACATATGCCCATATACCACTGGGAATTAAAGTTACAAATTATTACCTGTGCTATATAATTCACTGATACTTTCTGTGTTGTCTGCCTCCCTACCCTCCTCTACAGTTTTAAGTACCCCCCCCCCCTTTCTCACAAAGTCACAATGCAAAAGATGTACTGCATACACTCAGCATACCATGTATGGTAAGTTTGATTAGTAGCCTACTTACCTGTGCTATAAGCTGGACATCAATAACTTGTCTGGTGTAATCGACTGACCACTGGAACTGGTACCGGCCATCTGGGTCCAAGAAGATCTGGTACTGGAATGTCTGGGCACCATGGCAACACGACAACAGGCACAGACACAGGGAACACATCCAGGTCGGCATGGCTCACTCAATCGTAGGCTCTTCAATAGGCTCACTCAATGGTAGGCTCTTCAATAGGCTCACTTAATGGTAGGCTCTTCAATAGGCTCACTCAATGGTAGGCTCTTCAATAGGCTCACTCAATGGTAGGCTCTTCAATAGGCTCACTCAATGGTAGGCTCTTCAATAGGCTCACTTAATGGTAGGCTCTTCAATAGGCTCACTCAATGGTAGGCTCTTCTATAGGCTCACTTAATGGTAGGCTCTTCAATAGGCTCACTCAATGGTAGGCTCTTCAATAGGCTCACTCAATGGTAGGCTCTTCAATAGGCTCACTCAATGGTAGGCTCTTCAATAGGCTCACTCAATGGTAGGCTCTTCAATAGGCTCACTCAATGGTAGGCTCTTCAATAGGCTCACTCAATGGTAGGCTCTTCAATAGGCTCACTCAATGGTAGGCTCTTCAATAGGCTCACTCAATGGTAGGCTCTTCAATAGGCTCACTCAATGGTAGGCTGTTCAATAGGCTCACTCAATGGTAGGCTGTTCAATAGGCTCACTCAATGGTAGGCTCTTCAATAGGCTCACTCAATGGTAGACTCTTCAATAGGCTCACTCAATGGTAGACTCTTCAATAGGCTCACTCAATGCTAGGCTGTTCAATAGGCTCACTCAATGGTAGACTCTTCAATAGGCTCACTTAATGGTAGGCTCTTCAATAGGCTCACACAATGGTAGGCTCTTCAGTAGGTTCAATCAATGCTAGGCTCTTCAATAGGCTCACACAATGGTAGGCTCATCAATAGGCTCACTCAATCGTAGGCTCTTCAATAGGCTCACTCAATGGTAGGCTCTTCAATAGGCTCACTCAATGGTAGGCTCTTCAATAGGCTCACTCAATCGTAGGCTGTTCGTTAGGCTCACTCAATGGTAGGCTCTTCAATAGGCTCCACACAGGCTGTCCAAAAGGCTGTTCAATAGGCTCCACGTAGGCTGTTAACTTTCACTATGCTTTACTCAGGCTTCCACTTAACCTGCTGAACAGATGACACACAGACTGTCTAGCCTATGTCTGACTGACGTATGAAAGTGTAACACAGCAATAACCAGCTATACAATACTAGCAACGTATGCTGGTATGTTGTTGATGTGTATTTAATTAAACCATATCAACTATCGCACGCGTTACTTTTAGTATCTTAACAAACTTTACTCGTAAACATGTAAAAAAAAGTAGTTTCGGGTATAGGCCTACTAAGATTAGTGTCTTAACAAACTTGAAACAAACATGTAAAAGAAAAGTAGTTTCGGATATAATAAGATTTGTATCTTAACAAACTTAAAACAACCATGTAAAAGAAACTTATAGTTATAAAAACTGTCAAAAGACAGACAACTTACACTTGGCCGTCACTGAACACAAAGAACACAACGCTCAGACAGACGGGCTAGAGACTAGTCTGGCCGTGGAGGAGTGGGGGAGGGTTAGGGGATCTTTTAGAAGCGATTGTGACGTCACTCATGTAGTGGCAGAAGTTGGTGGCAGCCAGGTACCAGCACGCTAAAGTTTTTATAAATAAATAAATAAATGAAAAAATAAATAAACACACACATATATATATATATATATATATATATATATATATATATATATATATATATATATATATATATATATATATATATATATATATATATATATATATATATATATATATATATATATATTCATCCCAAGCGCACGAAGTGGACTCCACGTTCCTGCTTTGTTTCATGCTTAAATGGGCACCAACAAGAATCGAAAAATCGGCCAATTAAATAATTTTCATTTTTTTTAAATTATGTACGATGTTATAAAAATAAATAAAAACCTGACTTCGTTTTTTGTTGGGCTTCACTAAAGTTTGGTGTTTGATGATTTTAGCATTGTCGGTAACTTAACAAGAATTTCTTCTAAATGTTGGAAACGAAGTGGCTACTTTCATTTTGTCACCGATGTACATAAACATGGCATAACTAGGCCACGTGATTTTTAAAAAAAAACTTATGAATATTTTTAGTTTTGAGTTCATATGACTACAAAGTGGAGTTATGGAAAATTGATCACGAGTTTCCGTACAACCAATCAAAGCTTGTCTTACGAAATAGACACTCCTGGTTATTTTTAGGCTTGATGAAAAAACATAAGTGTAGCCTTAACCATAGCAAGACTCAAATATTTTCAAGTTCTCTGCATTTGTAACTTTTTTTTATTGTTTCTTTAAAAAATATTAAATTTTAAAATAATTTTCAAGTTAACGTTTGTTTTTTAACATAATATTAAACTGCTATAAAAGCAAAACTGACAAAAAACCACAATTTGTCAAAAAATGACCGAAGGATTCTTGTCAACTGGTTGATGTCCGCTAAAACTGTATAAATATAGAAATAGACACTCCTGGTTATTTTTAGGCTTGATGAAAAAACATAAGTGTAGCCTTAACCATAGCAAGACTCAAATATTTTCAAGTTCTCTGCATTTGTAACTTTTTTTTATTGTTTCTTTAAAAAATATTAAATTTTAAAATAATTTTCAAGTTAACGTTTGTTTTTTAACATAATATTAAACTGCTATAAAAGCAAAACTGACAAAAAACCACAATTTGTCAAAAAATGACCGAAGGATTCTTGTCAACTGGTTGATGTCCGCTAAAACTGTATAAATATAGAAATAGACACTCCTGGTTATTTTTAGGCTTGATGAAAAAACATAAGTGTAGCCTTAACCATAGCAAGACTCAAATATTTTCAAGTTCTCTGCATTTGTAACTTTTTTTATTGTTTCTTTAAAAAATATTAAATTTTAAAATAATTTTCAAGTTAACGTTTGTTTTTTAACATAATATTAAACTGCTATAAAAGCAAAACTGACAAAAAACCACAATTTGTCAAAAAATGACCGAAGGATTCTTGTCAACTGGTTGATGTCCGCTAAAACTGTATAAATATAGAAATAGACACTCCTGGTTATTTTTAGGCTTGATGAAAAAACATAAGTGTAGCCTTAACCATAGCAAGACTCAAATATTTTCAAGTTCTCTGCATTTGTAACTTTTTTTATTGTTTCTTTAAAAAATATTAAATTTTAAAATAATTTTCAAGTTAACGTTTGTTTTTTAACATAATATTAAACTGCTATAAAAGCAAAACTGACAAAAAACCACAATTTGTCAAAAAATGACCGAAGGATTCTTGTCAACTGGTTGATGTCCGCTTAAACTGTATAAATATAGAAATAGACACTCCTGGTTATTTTTAGGCTTGATGAAAAAACATAAGTGTAGCCTTAACCATAGCAAGACTCAAATATTTTCAAGTTCTCTGCATTTGTAACTTTTTTTTATTGTTTCTTTAAAAAATATTAAATTTTAAAATAATTTTCAAGTTAACGTTTGTTTTTTAACATAATATTAAACTGCTATAAAAGCAAAACTGACAAAAAACCACAATTTGTCAAAAAATGACCGAAGGATTCTTGTCAACTGGTTGATGTCCGCTAAAACTGTATAAATATAGAAATAGACACTCCTGGTTATTTTTAGGCTTGATGAAAAAACATAAGTGTAGCCTTAACCATAGCAAGACTCAAATATTTTCAAGTTCTCTGCATTTGTAACTTTTTTTTATTGTTTCTTTAAAAAATATTAAATTTTAAAATAATTTTCAAGTTAACGTTTGTTTTTTAACATAATATTAAACTGCTATAAAAGCAAAACTGACAAAAAACCACAATTTGTCAAAAAATGACCGAAGGATTCTTGTCAACTGGTTGATGTCCGCTAAAACTGTATAAATATAGAAATAGACACTCCTGGTTATTTTTAGGCTTGATGAAAAAACATAAGTGTAGCCTTAACCATAGCAAGACTCAAATATTTTCAAGTTCTCTGCATTTGTAACTTTTTTTATTGTTTCTTTAAAAAATATTAAATTTTAAAATAATTTTCAAGTTAACGTTTGTTTTTTAACATAATATTAAACTGCTATAAAAGCAAAACTGACAAAAAACCACAATTTGTCAAAAAATGACCGAAGGATTCTTGTCAACTGGTTGATGTCCGCTAAAACTGTATAAATATAGAAATAGACACTCCTGGTTATTTTTAGGCTTGATGAAAAAACATAAGTGTAGCCTTAACCATAGCAAGACTCAAATATTTTCAAGTTCTCTGCATTTGTAACTTTTTTTATTGTTTCTTTAAAAAATATTAAATTTTAAAATAATTTTCAAGTTAACGTTTGTTTTTTAACATAATATTAAACTGCTATAAAAGCAAAACTGACAAAAAACCACAATTTGTCAAAAAATGACCGAAGGATTCTTGTCAACTGGTTGATGTCCGCTTAAACTGTATAAATATATATATAGGCTGGGCATCTGTGAAGCTAATAGTCTAATTTATTGTAACCGCACCGAAAATATTACCAAAAAAATTGCGTCTAGAATCGGGTTTTCGTGTTGTATCAATTGTTGACATTAATGGTAGAGCTTTAAAACGGAAGTAAACAAGCAGAAGTCGTGAGCTGGGTGTGGTGTTTCCTGTCAGTCTCTGGCTGTCGTCTGATGGTCTGGCACTGTGACGTGCAAACATGGTGGTCACCGTACAGATTTGTGCTCTCTTGTGGAAAAATTTGAAAACCAAAACACGGAGTCCTGGGACTATCATCGGGGAGATAGGTGGGTGGCGGTGTGGTGTGTTTGTCTTGTCAAGTTGTGTCTTGTGCCGTGTCTCTGTTTTGGTATTTGTGTCTTCCGCCGTGTCTGTGTCTTTGTGTCTGTCTTGTGCCGTGTCTGTATCTTGGTATCTTTGTCTTGTGCCGTGTCCCCGTCTCTGTTGCTTGCGACGTGTCTGTGTCTTAGTTTCAATACGTGTATTGTCACGTGACTCTCATGTCCCCTAAAATACCATGTCACCTGTTTACCTACATGTTTGTAAACTAACCCTAACCGCGTTGTCTAATTTTTTACGTTTCATTTTCTCCATTAACGTTTCTCACTGCTCTGCCCATGTCACTATATGCCCTGCTACCATCTTTGACAGTTCTGCCCATGTCACTATATGCCCTGCTACCATCTTTGACAGTTCTGCCCATGTCACTATATGCCCTGCTACCATCCCCTACCGTTCTGCCTATGTCCCTATATGCCCTGCTACCACCCCCCCAGTTCTGCCCATGTCACTATATGCCCTGCTACCACCCCCCCAGTTCTGCCCATGTCACTATATGCCCTGCTACCATCCCCCACAGTTCTGCCCATGTCACTATATGCCCTGCTACCATCCCCCACAGTTCTGCCCATGTCACTATATGCCCTGCTACCATCCCCCACAGTTCTGCCCATGTCACTATATGCCCTGCTACCATCCCCCACAGTTCTGCCCATGTCACTATATGCCCTGCTACCACCCCCCCAGTTCTGCCCATGTCACTATATGCCCTGCTACCATCCTCCACAGTTCGCCCATGTCACTATATGCCCTGCTACCACCCCCCCCAGTTCTGCCCATGTCACTATATGCCCTGCTACCACCCCCCCCCCAGTTCTGCCCATGTCACTATATGCCCTGCTACCATCCTCCACAGTTCGCCCTATATGCCCTGCTACCATCCTCCACAGTTCTGCCCATGTCACTATATGCCCTGCTACCATCCCCCACAGTTCTGCCCATGTCACTATATGCCCTGCTACCACCCCCCCAGTTCTGCCCATGTCACTATATGCCCTGCTACCACCCCCCCCAGTTCTGCCCATGTCACTATATGCCCTGCTACCACCCCCCCAGTTCTGCCCATGTCACTATATGCCCTGCTACCATCCTCCACAGTTCGCCCTATATGCCCTGCTACCATCCTCCACAGTTCTGCCTATGTCCCTATATGCCCTGCTACCATCCCCCACAGTTCTGCCCATGTCACTATATGCCCTGCTACCATCCCCCCCCCACAGTTCTGCCCATGTCACTATATGCCCTGCTACCATCCCCCCCCCCCACAGTTCTGCCCATGTCCCTATATGCCCTGCTACCATCCCCCACAGTTCTGCCCATGTCACTATATGCCCAGCTACTCTCCCCCACAGTTCTGCCCATGTCACTATATGCCCTGCTACCATCCCCCACAGTTCTGCCCATGTCCCTATATGCCCTGCTACCCCCCCCCCCCCCACAGTTCTGCCCATGTCACTATATGCCCTGCTACCATCCCCCACAGTTCTGCCCATGTCACTATATGCCCTGCTACCATCCCCCCCCCAGTTCTGCCCTTGTCACTATATGCCCTGCTACTTCCCTCCACAGTTATACCCATCCTGATGTGTGCCCTGATCGCCAACGAGAAGCTGATCAGCCACAAGACGAAGGGCGTCAAGCGCTACGAGCCCCACTCAGTGTCCGCCAACCTATCCAATGACCGGCTGGTCGAGCTCGTCTATGTGCCCACGTCTCCCGCCATTCGCAAACTTCTGCTCTCTTCCAACTCCACCGCCACCATCTGTAAGTTCCTCGCTCAACTCTTTCTCTGCCATATATATATATATATATATATATATATATATATATATATATATATATATATATATATATATATATATATATATATATATATAGTTTATTGTGTTAAAGCATCTATTAAACATAGCGGTGGGGGGGGGGGGGTAGGCGCAAATTTAAAAGTTCCCCCCGGGGCGCTGTATGGGTCGCTACGCCTCTGCTTGTGGTCACTTGGTCTACATTCCGTCGGTCATCAAGCCGGACTACATTAATTATCTCCTCCTATTTGTGTCGGTCAGTGTCCTAATTCCTTCAGCCATCAGGCCGGACTACGCTACTTATCGCGTCCTAATTGTGTTGGTCAGTGTCCCAATTCCTTCAGCCATCAGGCCGGACTACGCTACTTATCGCGTCCTAATTGTGTTGGTCAGTGTCCCAATTCCTTCAGCCATCAGGCCGGACTACGCTACTTATCGCGTCCTAATTGTGTTGGTCAGTGTCCCAATTCCTTCAGCCATCAGGCCGGACTACGCTACTTATCGCGTCCTAATTGTGTTGGTCAGTGTCCCAATTCCTTCAGCCATCAGGCCGGACTACGCTACTTATCGCGTCCTAATTGTGTTGGTCAGTGTCCCAATTCCTTCAGCCATCAGGCCGGACTACGCTACTTATCGCGTCCTAATTGTGTTGGTCAGTGTCCCAATTCCTTCAGCCATCAGGCCGGACTACGCTACTTATCGCGTCCTAATTGTGTTGGTCAGTGTCCCAATTCCTTCAGCCATCAGGCCGGACTACGCTACTTATCGCGTCCTAATTGTGTTGGTCAGTGTCCCAATTCCTTCAGCCATCAGGCCGGACTACGCTACTTATCGCGTCCTAATTGTGTTGGTCAGTGTCCCAATTCCTTCAGCCATCAGACCGGACTACGCTACTTATCGCGTCCTAATTGTGTTGGTCAGTGTCCTAATTCCTACGGTCATCCAGTTTGACTGCCCTACTAATCCCGTCCTAATTGTGTCGGTCAGTTAAGAAGCTGATATCCTTCAAGTCTGTGAACGAGGCGTACAAGTACACGTCCAAGAAATACCTCTCCTACCCACCCGTCAAGTTTGACCTCGACAACATCAGCGAGGTGCCAACACGCCTCAGCTACAAAGTCATCCTAGACGTGGATTATGAGCCCGGGTATCAGAGCGCTGAGGCTATCCGTGAGTTTTATCCTGTGACCCCAGGGGTTGTATGAATGATGACCCCAGGGGTTGTATGAATGATGACCCCAGGGGTTGTATGAATGATGACCCCAGGGGTTGTATGATTGATGACCCCAGGGGTTGTATGAATGATGACCCCAGGGGTTGTATGATTGATGACCCCAGGGGTTGTATGAATGATGACCCCAGGGGTTGTATGATTGATGACCCCAGGGGTTGTATGAATGATGACCCCAGGGGTTGTATGAATGTAGACCCCAGGGGTTGTCTGAATGACGAGCCCACAATCTGAAATATTCAGGATTATAGTCCTTGCATAGCTGTTGGTTTTTTTTTTGGTAATGTGAAGTAACAGATGTAAACTTGAGGTAGACAATATAGTAGTATTAATAGATCAAAAATATAAAGCATACCATTAATATATTTTCTTCCTGAAACTGCTAACTTTGATTTAAATCTTTAATAAACATTTTACAATATTGATGTTCTAAATTTAAATAAGCTGTACATTTGATTAATGTAAAATAATAAAATAAAAAACCGTTCCCCGTATACCAACGGCCCTAAGTGCTAGTATTTAACCATACTTAAAACGCCGTTACCTAAAGCCTGGCTGTCCCGCTAGAATACATGGACTTCTGCGTGACGGTCCTTCAGACGGAGATCAGTCGTGCCTTCACCAGCTACTGGGCCGCCAGACGGAGCATCAGCGTCGAGTACGGCAAGCTGATGATACAGCGGATGCCGGAGACCACGTCCATATCCACGACGGGCATCGAGACCAAGTACGTCCTGTACGTCTTCTGGCCGCTCATGTACGTCTGGCTGTTCACCATCACCATCAACTACCTGGTCAACGACCGCAAGTACATGATCAAGGTAACTGTCGTGGTGGGGGGGGGGGCAATAAGGTAACTGTCGTGGTGGGGGGGGGGGCATCAAGGTAACTGTCGTGGTGGGGGGGGGGGGCATCAAGGTAACTCATACTGTGGTGGGGGGGGGGGCAGTAATGACGTGGTCAATGCTCATAATGGACAACTAGACAACCCATGGACAACTGGACAAAATATGGACAACTGGACAGCATGGGAAATTGACAACACATTGACAACTGGACTAAGCATGGACAAAACAAGGACAACTGGACAAAACATGGACAACTAGACTAAGCATGGACAAAACAAGGACAACTGGACAAAACATGGACAACTAGACTAAGCATGGACAAAACAGGGACAACTGGACAAAACAGGGACAACTGGACAAAACATGGGCAACTGGACAAAACATGGGCAACTGGACAAAACATGAAAACTGATTAACACTGACATGGACAAATGGACAGCACTTACATTAAGTTTTAGTAAAAACCGCGAAAACTAGACTCAGTCACGTTCTGTCGCTTGCTTCCCCCAGATTTCCCTGAGCATGCTGGGTGTGACGGACAAAGTGTTCTGGCTGTCGTGGTTCATCACCAGCTTGACCTCCGGTGTCATCGTCGCCGTCATCGTCACCATCACCTACTGCACCGACTACTCGGAGGACGGTCAGGTCATCGAGACGAAGGCCTCCCTCTTCGCCATCATCCAGTTGGTGTACATCATCAACACAATCTCGTCGGCGTTTCTCTTGTCCCACGTCATCTTTTTTGGTGAGCAGCGGCCTGGTCGTGTTTCTATTACATTAGCTACCGAGATATTTGTTTATGTGATGGGAGGGATTGCTCATTGTAGGCTGTCATTAGTAGAAGAAATAATGTCTGCTCCGTGTATAAAGTAGAGGAACTGGTCCATGTTCCCTGTAACTGGTCCATGTTCCCTGTAGCTGGTAAATGGTCCATATAATTGGTGGATGTTTCCTGTAACTGTGTTCCCTGTATTCAGTAGTGGAACTAGTGAATGTTCCCTGTAACTTTTGTATGTTCCCTGTAACTAGTGCATGTTCCCTGTAATGGTGATTGTTCCCTGTATTCATTAGAGGAACTGGTGCATGTTCCCAGTAACTGTTCATGTTCCCTGTAACTGTTCATGTTCCCTGTAACTGGTGCATGTTCCCTGTAACTGATGTATGTTCCCTGTAATTGGTGCATGTTCCCTGTAACTAGTGCATGTTCCCTGTAATGGTGAATGTTCCCTGTAACTGGTGCATGTAACCTGTAACTGATGCATGTTCCCTGCAACTGGTGCAAGTACCCTTATTCATTAGAGGAACTGGTGCATGTTCCCTGTAACTGGTGCATGTTCCCTGTAACGGATGCATGCTCCCTGTAACTGGTGTATGTTCCCTGTATTCAATAGAGGAACTTGTGTGTGTTCCCTGTAACTGGTGTATGTTCCCTGTAACTGGTGTATGTTCCCTGTAACTGGTGTATGTTCCCTGTAACTGGTGTATGTTCTCTGTAACTGGTGCATGTTCCCTGTATTCAGTAGAGGAACTGGTGCATGTTCCCTGTATTCAGTAGAGGAACTGGTGTATGTCCCTTGTATTCAGTAGAGGAACTGGTGCATGTTCCCTGTAACTGGTGTATGTTCCCTGTAACTGGTGTATGTTCCCTGTAACTGATGTATGTTCCCTGTAACTGGTGTATGTTCCCTGTATTCAGTAGAGGAACTGGTGTTCGCCCTGAGCCTAGTGTACTACGTGTCGTGCACCGTGCTGAGCCTGAGTGCCGTGACCTACTTCCTGTCACGTGTCCAGATGTTCATCATCGGAACTTTCCTCTACCAGACCGGTTTCTACATCGTCGTCCAAGACATCTACAACAAGGAATATTTAGGTATTATATAGTGAGACATCTACACCAAGGAATATTTAGGTATTATATAGTGAGACATCTACAACAAGGAATATTTAGGTATTATATAGTGAGACATCTACAACAAGGAATATTTAGGTATTATATAGTGAGACATCTACACCAAGGAATATTTAGGTATTATATAGTGAGACATCTACACCAAGGAATATTTAGGTATTATATAGTGAGACATCTACAACAAGGAATATTTAGGTATTATATAGTGAGACATCTACAACAAGGAATATTTACGTATTATATAGTGAGACATCTACAACAAGGAATATTTAGGTATTATATAGTGAGACATCTACAACAAGGAATATTTAGGTATTATATAGTGAGACATCTACAACAAGGAATATTTAGGTATTATATAGTGAGACATCTACAACAAGGAATATTTAGGTATTATATAGTGAGACATCAACAACAAGGAATATTTAGGTATTATATAGTGAGACATCTACACCAAGGAATATTTAGGTATTATATAGTGAGACATCTACACCAAGGAATATTTAGGTATTATATAGTGAGACATCAACAACAAGGAATATTTAGGTATTATATAGTGAGACATCTACAACAAGGAACATTTAGGTATTATATAGTGAGACATCTACAACAAGGAATATTTAGGTATTGTATAGTGAGATATCTACAACAAGGAATATTTAGGTATTATATAGTGAGACATCTACAACAAGGAATATTTAGGTATTATATAGTGAGACATCTACAACAAGGAATATTTAGGTATTATATAGTGAGACATCTACAACAAGGAATATTTAGGTATTATATAGTGAGACATCTACAACAAGGAATATTTATGTACTCAATACTTTTCATCAATTTTGCAGTGCTTTCGTAAATGTGCTTGAGTGCGTATGTGTGTGTGTGTGTGTTTGTGCGAGCGCCCGTATGTTTTTACTTCCTATTTTCCCCTCCCCCCTCCCCCGGGGCAGGCCGAGGTATCAACTACGCCAACATGTTCATCATTTCTTATCTTCCCCTCCCCCCTCCCCCGGGGCAGGCCGTGTTATCAACTGCGCCAACATGTTCATCATTTCATATCATCCCCTCCCCCCTCCCCCGGGGCAGGCCGAGGTATCAACTGCGCCAACATGTTCATCATTTCATATCATCCCCTCCCCCCCTCCCCCGGGGCAGGCCGAGGTATCAACTACGCCAACATGTTCATCATTTCTTATCTTCCCCTCCCCCTCCCCGGGGGCAGGCCGAGGTATTAACTACGCCACCATGTTCATCATTTCATATCATCCCCTCCCCCCCCCTCCCCCGGGGCAGGCCGAGGTATCAACTACGCCAACATGTTCATCATTTCTTATCATCCCCTCCCCCGGGGCAGGCCGAGGTATCAACTACGCCAACATGTTCACCATTTCTTATCATTTCCCCTCCCCCGGGGCAGGCCGAGGTATCAACTACGCCAACATGTTCATCAATGAGAAGGCCCCACACACCACAGTCTCTGACGGTCTGATCATCATGTGCCTGAACACGGCGGTCAACTTCCTCCTCATGTGGTACATCCGCAACGTCTTCCCCGACCACCACGGCAACCCACAGCCCTACTACTTCTGTTTCACGGTCAGTCTTGGTCAAAGCATTGGTCGGGGGAGGGGGGGTCAGTCTCGGTCAGTTGTAGGTCGGGGATCAGTCTCGGTCAGTTGTAGGTCGGGGGTCAGTCTCGGTCAGTTGATTGGTCGGGGGTCAGTCTCGGTCAGTTGATTGGTCGGGGGTCAGTCCCGGTCAGTTTAATGGTCGGGGGTCAGTCTCGGTCACAGCATTGGTCGGGGGTCAGTCTCGGTCACAGCATTGGTCGGGGGTCAGTCTCGGTCACAGCATTGGTCGGGGGTCAGTCTCGGTTATAGCATTGGTCGGGGGTCAGTCTCGGTCACAGCATTGGTCGGGGGTCAGTCTCTGGGATGGGGGCAGTGTCGCTCATTAGATTTTAAGGGTTTGGCAGTCTTGATTAATAGATTGGTCGGGGGTCAGATGGTCAATAGATTGTGGGGATCAATGTTCGTCGATAGATTGAAAATGATAGGGTTGCAGTGTCGATCAATAGACTGTGGGGGCAGTGTCTGTCAAAAGATAACAGTAAAACAAAATAACTTAAAATTTTGATGAGGCCAATTTTCCATTAGGTGATAGCAATAGTTAGAATTTTAATGTCATCGTCATCATTTGATTTCCTTACCCAGCGGTCCTACTGGAGACTGGAGGGTTGCCCAGAAATCCCCGCCCTACCCCAGTCGGAAGAACACCTGTTTGAGAGTGTACCCCGTCGGCTGACACCAGTCATTAGCTCCAGGGGTTTGATGAAGGTAAGGGCTGACAGTGATCTTTCCTTATGGGACCCTGACTTAAGTCGTAGCGGAGAAAAAATGTTGTTTTACAAACTGTTGTTACACGGGAATTGTAGAAGTTTAATTGTTAGATTTGTCTTTTTTAACCAAACAATTATGTTACAGTAGCTAATTTTTTCCCCTATTGTTCTTTAATTAGTGACGGTCTGTGCTTCCTCTGTTGATTCCTATACAGGCCCTTCCAGATCTTTAACGTAACACCTAAAGCCATATATATATACATTGGGAGATAATTTTTTCCCATCCTTAATTTCTTATCATCACTCTCTTCTTCAATATTAAACGTAATATTTTATGGGATTTCCTCCAACTCAAATTAAAACTAAGTGTTACTGGAGTTTTCTCTCTAGATGAGTTGCTGTCTCCTGCTATAAAGCCCTATCAGTCCGCGTGTTCGAACTCGGGACCTTTCGGTTTAGCAGCGATGAGCTCTGCCGACTACACCACGCCATCACCAAAGGCTTGGTGTTGTTTTAGTAAACTTGAACTGTAAAAACTGCAACATTTAATTAGAGAGCTATCACCAGCTCACACCTGTACCTGTACCTCTAACACGACCTTGACCTCCCGTCAGCTGGTCAACGACGAGCCAGTGGTGGCCGGGGTCAGCATCAACCTGTACAGGAGCGAGGTGACCGTCATCGTGGGGAACAAGTACTCCGGCAAGACGACCTTGATCAACCTGCTGGCTGGTGAGTGCTGGTCACGTGCTGTTGGTCACGTGGTGTTGGTCACGTGGTGCTGGTCACGTGAGAGGGTGAGAGTTGGTCACGTAAGAGGGTAAGTGCTGGTCACGTGGTGTTGGTCACGTGAGAGGGTGTCTTGGTCACGTGGTGCTGGTCACGTGGTGTTGGTCACGTGAGGGGGTGAGTGCAGGTCACGTGGTGTTGGTCACGTGGTGTTGGTCACGTGAGAGGGTGTCTTGGTCACGTGGTGTTGGTCACGTGGTGTTGGTCACGTGGTGTTGGTCACGTGAGGGGGTGAGTGCTGGTCACGTGGTGTTGGTCACGTGGTGCTGGTCACGTGGTGCTGGTCACGTGGTGCTGGTCACGTGGTGTTGGTCACGTGGTGCTGGTCACGTGGTGTTGGTCACGGGGTGTTGGTCACGTGAGAGGGTGAGTGCTGGTCACGTGGTGCTGGTCACGTGGTGTTGGTCACGGGGTGTTGGTCACGTGAGAGGGTGAGTGCTGGTCACGTGGTGCTGGTCACGTGAGAGGGTGAGTGCTGGTCACGTGGTGCTGGTCACGTGAGAGGGTGAGTGCTGGTCACGTGGTGCTGGTCACGTGAGAGGGTGAGTGCTGGTCACGTGGTGCTGGTCACGTGAGAGGGTGAGAGCTGGTCACGTGGTGTTGGTCACGTGGTGTTGATCACGTGAGAGGGTGAGAGCTGGTCACGTGGTGTTGGTCACGTGGTGTTGGTCACGTGAGAGGGTGAGAGCTGGTCACGTGAGTCTGTGAGAGCTGGTCACGTGATAGGGTTAGGAGGAGGTGCTAAATTTACGACCTAAATGGAAAAGAAATAAAGCATCTACAGCAGTAAATAAGATGTTGTGCATGTACAAATACACCAAACAAAAAACCGATGATTTAATTACCGCAAGAATTCATTCTTGGAATACTTAAAAGAGGAATGATTTTGCAAACACAAAAACAGACATAAAGTAGCATCAATACATTGTATAATACTTGTAGGTGTTAGTTCTCAAACTGCGCTCCCTGCAACAGGAATAGTAGATTATGTCTAATACAGGAATGATATTTTGAAATGCTAAGAAGTTTTTTATGTCTCTTCTATTTCATCTGTGTCGTATGTATCGTATCTGTCATCTGTATAATCCCTGGCGTATGTCATCTATTTTATGTCATCTCCATCATATTTGTCATCTATGTCACCTGTAACGTCTACGTCATCTATGTCAGGCATCATACCAGCGTCATCAGGAGTCGTGACTATTAACGGACACAATGTGGCTAAAGAGCGCCGAAGACTGAACCACATAACTGGCTACTGCACACAACATGACGTCTTGTTTAGGAAACTCACATGCCTTGAGCACCTGACTTTCTACCTCAAGGTACATCAAACTGACACACACACACACATATATATATATATATATATATATATATATATATATATATATATATATATATATATATAAATTCTTAGTTGGCAAATGGTGGGGTAGGCTCAGAGAGAAATAAGTTTGTGTTGTAAGTGCAGACACAGACCGTTTTTCAAAGGGAAACTGGGTCGCCTAGTATGTATTTAAGCTAAAACTATAGTCTGTGTTGTTTTTTGTCTGTATCATAGTAAGTAGGTAGGGTTAAAAAGTTGGGTTAGGAAAGTTTTGGGGAGCGATTCCTTGTTAGTCAGTGGTCGCAGATGTTTGTTGTATGATAAGATCAACTTAAGAACCAAGAAAACATCTAGGGACTTTGTGTTAATTAAATAGTCATACGTTAATATGTATGGCCGAGCCCGTACCCTCAGACCCCACCATTTTTTACCCCCAGCTGAAGGGCCACTACTCAGCCCACTACGAGAACTGGAACTCGGAGTTACTCCGTTGTATCGGGCTGGGGGAACAGAGCGACAACTATCCCTGGATGCTCAATGTCGGTGAGAGACGCAAGCTGACCATCGCATGCTCGTTTGTTGGGGAGAATCAGGTAACCAAATGTTGGCTGACCATCGCATGCTCGTTTGTTGGGGAGAATCAGGTAACCAAATATTGGCTGACCATCGCATGCTCGTTTGTTGGGGAGAATCAGGTAACCAAATGCTCGTTTGTTGGGGAGAATCAGGTAACCAAATGTTGGCTGTCGGACATTGCTGGAGATCAGAGTAGGGTGGGGTGTTTTGGGGTCGGGTGTCGGTGTTTGGGGGTCAGGATAGGGTGGGGGTGTGTGGGGGTCAGGGTAGGGTGTAGGGTAAACTTGGTAGGCGGTCAGGGTAGGGTGTTTCGGTGGTTTTGTTTAACTTTTAACAATAGACCCTGCTAAATAATCAACTTTGTCATTATCATCAATAAACTACCCAAAACACTCGCCGTGTTGAGCTGAAACTGTTTTAAAATACAATATCACTTGTATATGCCAATTTCTGGGTTTCTCAAACCGAATAACACGTGATTGAACTAAATGTTAGACCTAGTGAGCGAGTTGAAAGATCAGGCTGTATCCTCAGATAATTTGAAAGATCAGGCTGTATCCACAGATAGTTTGAAAGATCAGGCTGTATCCTCAGATAATTTGAAAGATCAGGCTGTATCCTCAGATAATTTGAAAGATCAGGCTGTATCCTCAGATAATTTGAAAGATCAGGCTGTATCCTCAGATAATTTGAAAGATCAGGCTGTATCCTCAGATAATTTGAAAGGTCAGGCTGTATCCTCAGATAATTTGAAAGATCAGGCTGTATCCTCAGATAATTTAAAAGATCAGGCTGTATCCTCAGATAATTTGAAAGATCAGGCTGTATCCTCAGATAATTTGAAAGATCAGGCTGTATCCTCAGATAATTTGAAAGATCAGGCTGTATCCTCAGATAATTTGAAAGATCAGGCTGTATCCTCAGATAATTTGAAAGATCAGGCTGTATCCTCAGATAATTTGAAAGATCAGGCTGTATCCTCAGATAATTTGAAAGATCAGGCTGTATCCTCAGATAATTTGAAAGATCAGGCTGTATCCTCAGATAATTTAAAAGATCAGGCTGTATCCTTAGATAATTTGAAAGATCAGGCTGTATCCTCAGATAATTTAAAAGATCAGGCTGTATCCTCAGATAATTTGAAAGATCAGGCTGTATCCTCAGATAATTTGAAAGATCAGGCTGTATCCTCAGATAATTTGAAAGATCAGGCTGTATCCTCAGATAATTTGAAAGATCAGGCTGTATCCTCAGATAATTTGAAAGATCAGGCTGTATCCTCAGATAATTTGAAAGATCAGGCTGTATCCTCAGATAATTTGAAAGATCAGGCTGTATCCTCAGATAATTTAAAAGATCAGGCTGTATCCTTAGATAATTTGAAAGATCAGGCTGTATCCTCAGATAATTTGAAAGATCAGGCTGTATCCTCAGATAATTTGAAAGATCAGGCTGTATCCTCAGATAATTTGAAAGATCAGGCTGTATCCTCAGATAATTTGAAGATCAGGCTGTATCCTCAGATAATCTTCCTGGACGAGCCAACCTACGGCCTGAATGCCAAAGCAAAGAAAGACGTGTGTCACTTCCTCCAGAACATGAAACAGGGCCGCACCATCCTCATGTCCACCCACAGCATGGACGAGGCCGAGACACTGGCCGACAGGATAGCCATCATAGAGGAGGGAGGCGTAAAATGTTACGGGTCACCGGCATTCTTAAAGCGGATTTTCGGTGAATAGTTTTATCTTTTGCATTGAGTCTATCCAGTAAATCTAGTTTTGCATTGAGTCTATCCAGTAAATCTAGTTTTGCATTGAGTCTATCCAGTAAATCTAGTTTTGCATTGAGTCTATCCAGTAAATCTAGTTTTGCATTGAGTCTATCCAGTAAATCTAGTTTTGCATTGAGTCTATCCAGTAAATCTAGTTTTGCATTGAGTCTGAGAATGAGTCACCTTTTGACTTCCGCCAGGTGTGGGCTACCATCTGAAGGTGACCAGAGAACCCGGATGTTCCATCAAGAACTTGTTGAAGACAGTCCAGACAATCTTCCCAGAAGCCACTTTCAGTGTGAGTGGTAGAGGCTTGGGCTACATTAGGTTCATCTTATAATCGAGTAATTTAAATTGCCAGGATATCATTTATTCGTTAATTAAGGTAGAATCTATTTCTATACAATAATTCTTATAGAATTATCATTAAATTATATCTTCAAGAATATTTTTTTTCAATATAAACTAATTCTTAGTGATGAATAATAAGTTATAACTAGTATACTAAACTCAACCTTTACATGCTATTTTTAGAAAATGATTTTCAAGATCTAATTTAAACTTAAACCTTTCACACACAAAAAAACCTTAAGATTTTATCACTTGCACTTGCAATCAAAATTTAGATCTTTAAATGTGCAATTATAATGTTTATTTCCAATTTTCGACTGAAACCAGATGTTGTCTGATACAACATTTAATACCATGTCTTCCAATTTACTGAACGGCGTGATCATATGGTAGCGCGTACGTCTTCTAACCCGAAAGCTTCGAGTTCGGGCCCCAGACCCAAATACGTACGATGGCTCTGATGGGTACCTGACTCACGTTAGGGAAAGTCCGCGACCAAGCAGAACGATGACCACATTATACCAACAAATGCCGACGTCACTGAAACAGTGAAACTCTACTCCACCACGCCCATAGGCCCTTGCAACGGTACTGTACTTCTTACTGAACTGCATAAAGTTTTACCATCTAACGTTTTCTGGCAACAGGGCTCCAACTCAACGGAAGTGACCATCTCGCTTCCAGAGGGTTTAGACTTCTTCATTCCCAACTTTCTGGAGCAGCTGGACAAGCGAACAGACGACTTGAAAATCTCGAACATTCGGCTCTCTGCGTTCTCGTTATATGATGTCTTTCATGGGTGAGTTAACGGCTCTCTGCGTTCTCGTTATATGATGTCTTTCATGGGTGAGTTAACGGCTATCTGCGTTCTCGTTATATGATGTCTTTCATGGGTGAGTTAACGGCTCTCTGCGTTCTCGTTTTATGATGTCTTTCATGGGTGAGTTAACGGCTCTCTGCGTTCTCGTTATATGATGTCTTTCATGGGTGAGTTGAGCACGCAAAATGAGTCTTTTGATTGAGGGTAGGTGGCCCGCAAAATGAGTCTTTTGATTGAGTGTAGGTGGCACGCAAAATGTGTCTTTTTGACTGAGGTTAGGTGGCACGCTAAATATGTCTTTTAATTGAGGGTAGGTGGCACGCAAAATGTGTTTTTTGATTGAGGGTAGGTGGCACGCAAAATGAGTCTTTTGATTGAGGGTAGGTGGCACGCAAAATGAGTCTTTTGATTGAGGGTAGGTGGCACGCAAAATGAGTCTTTTGATTGAGGGTAGGTGGCCCGCAAAATGAGTCTTTTGATTGAGGGTAGGTGGCACTCAAAATGTGTCTTTTGACAGGTTAGGTGGCACGCTAAATATGTCTTTTAATTGAGGGTAGGTGGCACGCAAAATGTGTTTTTTGATTGAGGGTAGGTGGCACGCAAAATGAGTCTTTTGATTGAGGGTGGGTGGCCCGCAAAATGTATCTTTTGACTGAGGTTAGGTGGCACGCTAAATATGTTTTTTGATTGAAGGTAGATGGCACGCAAAATGAGTCTTTTGAATGAGGGTAGGTGGTACGCAAAATGTGTCATTTGATTGAGGTTAGGTGGCACGCAATGGTGGTTTTTACTTGTGAGCAGGGGGCACGTAATGTTGGATCTTTTACTTGAGGCTACATCATCTAGCAGACGATAGATAAATTTACTATTCACAAACTCTTGGTAGGTGGCAGTCTACACTCTCAATAAAACGCGATACGAGTTCACTTCCGGTTCTTCTGGCTCTATAATCGGTTAGCACCCCATAATGCATCAACTCAATCGGAAGGAAGTTGGTAAAGGGGTTAATACAAAAGTACTAGTACTTGACTTAAGAAGCTATACTTTAATCGCTAAAAGGCATAGACCTAGATAGGCGAACTCTAATTGTCTTATTACATTTGATGTTGGATTCTTGACTTAAATAACTATCTAGTCTAATGAGTTATGTCCCCTGTATAACAGTCTAGCATTTAGAGTAGAGTTACATCCCGTGTATGGTCATGTCACATACTGAGTTGTGTGGTTGCTTCCCTCTACAGACTAGGGGAAGGCTTCGAGCTGAGGGAGAACATCGATTCAGCTCACTCCAGCATGTAAGTGTTGCCATGGTAGCGTGGGCAGCGTCCATACATGACGTCACCAATACGGTCATACAGGCAGGGGCGTAGCGAGGGGGGGGGCGGGGGTGCGGACCGCACCGGGTGACACCATTTAGGGGGTTGACACCAAGGCAAAAAATAGCAAATTATATAGAGAAAAACTTGAGGGGGGGGGGGGTTGCAAATCGAAAAGCTTGAGGGAGGGGGGGGTTGCAAATCGAAAGTTTGAAAGTTTGTCCCCGGGAAGGCTGGCTACGCCTATGGGGGGGTGACACCATTAAGTGCCGCACCGGGTGACACCCGACCTCGCTACGCCACTGCATACAGGACACCCACAACTTCTGACTAGGGGACTAAACTCCGCTCTGGTCGTGATAAATAGCACAGCCTAGGTAGTGGCTGATTAAAAAGTCATTTTATCATTGTGATAAATGACTCCCGTTCGTACCTCCCCACCTCAGCCCAACTACCTCTCATACACATACAAGAATGAGGGTTGGGGATATTTTAAAGTCACCATTTTCAAGTCAGGTGATATGATGTATGGACTGCCTGTATTTGAAATACAGTAGCTGGTGTTGGAATCTCTTGAATCGAATGTGTTTATATTTATATAGATGTGAAACAATGTGTTTCTATTGAAATAGATGTGAAAGAATATGCTTCTATTTATATTTATTTAGATCTAGATGTGAAACAATGTGTTTATATTTATATAGATGTGAAACAATGTGTTTATATTTATTTAGATGAGAAATAATGATTTTACATTTATATAGATGTGAAAGAATGTGTTTCTATTTACATTTATAAAGATGTGAAACAATTTGCTTCTATTTATTTAGACGTAAAACAATGTTTTACATTTATATAGATGTGAAACAATGTGTATATATTTATATAGATGTGAAACAATGTGTATATATTTATATAGATGTGAAACTATGGAAGAGCAAAACGAGTTTGATAAGGACGGTTTCTTATCAGGTCAGTAGCATAGACTACAAAGTGTACAATCTTTGAATATCTTTTGTAGATATAGACATATCGATACTAGAGTATATTGTATTTAAGCTACATGATGAAGTTATTTTGATACTAATAATACTAATATATATTGCATTTAAAATTCCTGTTCGTTACAAGATGCGAAGATCACTTGTCCACATTTCCTTAAGCATAAATTACAGCTTTACGTAAGAAACATAAATCACGGTCCACGTCACCTGAACTCAACTGACCTTAGTCCATCATCCCACTACAGCTGTTTAAACATCTAGTCCAACACCTTTAGACAAAGTGTTGATTTTTTTTAGCCTAATCGTAAAAGTTCCAGTTCAAACTTGACGGTCTATAGGGCAAGTGAAGTAGAGCTCACTTGTTTCTGTGACCTCGGCATATGAAGAGATAGTGTGGTCAGCACTATGCCGAGCCGCTTTTACTAATCGTGCCAACCAAAATACGAGATAATTTTACTTTTGGTTAGGGTTAGGGGTTTACATCGCCCCTGTTTCCTTGATGTTCTCCCCTGTTGCTCCACAGAACGTCTCTTCAAGAGGATGGGAAACTACGAGCAGTACACCGGCTCCCGGCTCATCTTACAGCAGCTCAAAGCCATCTTCTTCAAGAAGTGGATCCTCTTCACCCGCCCCCTCATCACCGCCCTCGCTATCCTGTTCCTCCCCGCGGGGGTGGTGCTGTTCGGCATAGGACTAGACCAGGACACCATGTCAGCCTCTGACGTCAAGCCGCTCGAGTTCAGCCTCAGGGGCCTGGAGGATACCCTCATCCCCATATGGAAGAACGACAGCACGGCCAAAGCGAAACTAGACTCATACGAGAAACAGTTCCAGTCGGTAGGGAGTCACGTCATGTCTCCAAGTCAGGTAAGGGAACTATTTTCTGTATGTCTCAGGTAAAGGAACTATTTTCTGTATGTCTCAGGTAAAGGAACTATTTTATGTATGTCTCAGGTAAAGGAACTATTTTATGTATGTCTCAGGTAAAGGAACTATTTTCTGTATGTCTCAGGTAAAGGAACTATTTTCTGTATGTCTCAGGTAAAGGAACTATTTTCTGTATGTCTCAGGTAAAGGAACTATTTTCTGTATGTCGCCAAGTCAGGTAAAGGAACTATTTTCTGTATGTCTCAGGTAAAGGAACTATTTTCTGTATGTCTCGTGTAAAGGAACTATTTTCTGTATGTCTCAGGTAAAGGAACTATTTTCTGTATGTCTCAGGTAAAGGAACTATTTTCTGTATGTCTCAGGTAAAGGAACTTTTTTCTGTATGTCTCAGGTAAAGGAACTATTTTCTGTATGTCGCCAAGTCAGGTAAAGGAACTATTTTCTGTATGTCTCAGGTAAAGGAACTTTTTTCTGTATGTCGCCAAGTCAGGTAAAGGAACTATTTTTTGTATGTCTTAGGTAAAGGAACTATTTTCTGTATGTCTCAGGTAAAGGAACTATTTTCTGTATGTCTCAGGTAAAGGAACTATTTTCTATATGTCTCAGGTAAAGGAACTATTTTCTGTATGTCTCAGGTAAAGGAACTATTTTCTGTATGTCTCGGGTAAAGGAACTTTTTTCTGTATGTCTCAGTTAATGGAACTATTTTCTGTGTCTCGCTAAGTCAGATAAAGGAACTATTTTCTGTGTGTCGCTACGTCTGGTAAAGGAACTATTTTCTGTATGTCTCAGGTAAAGGAACTATTTTCTGTATGTCTCAGGTAAAGGAACTATTTTATGTATGTCTCAGGTAAAGGAACTTTTTTCTGTATGTCTCAGGTAAAGGAACTTTTTTCTGTATGTCTCAGGTAAAGGAACTTTTTTCTGTATGTCTCAGGTAAAGGAACTTTTTTCTGTATGTCGCCAAGTCAGGTAAAGGAACTATTTTCTGTATGTCTCAGGTAAAGGAACTTTTTTCTGTATGTCTCAGTTAAAGGAACTATTTTCTGTGTCTCGCTAAGTCAGATAAAGGAACTATTTTCTGTGTGTCGCTACGTCTGGTAAAGGAACTATTTTCTGTATGTCGCTACGTCTGGTAAAGGAACTATTTTCTGTGTCTCGCTAAGTCAGATAAAGGAACTATTTTCTGTGTGTCGCTACGTCTGGTAAAGGAACTATTTTCTGTGTCTCGCTAAGTCAGATAAAGGAACTATTTTCTGTATGTCGTCGAGTCAGGTTAAAGGACTACTCCCTGGTGAGTAAATTGATGTGTGAGTTTGCGATTTGTATTCTATGGAGTACCGTGTCAAAATATGTTCTTTAAAAAATGAACTAGTGTCTTATAAGTAAACGTTGCGTGTTCCACTAGCTACGCCAAAGTTTCTTACACCCCAGCGCTCTTGCATGTTGATACCAGAAATAACTCCACTTTTCGATATATATATATATATATATATATATATATATATATATATATATATATATATATATATATATATATATATATATATATATATATATATATATATATATATATATACATATATATATATATATAAAGCGAGAGAGAGAGAGAGAGAGAGAGAGAGAGAGAGAGAGAGAGAGAGAGAAAGTGGAGTTAGAACAGTCTGGTTCTAGGGAAGTAAAATGTACACAAGTGTGAAAAGACTGTCTTAAGTTCATCTTACTGCTAAAAAATGTGTCTTCTTCTAGAAAGATCCGAACGAATTCTTCATTTACTGGGCCAACAAATACGACGACGAACGTTACAATAAGAAATTTATTTTCGGCGTTGAGCTGACCATCCCGGATACCACAATCATATTTTACCAACACTGGATGACCCAGGCACAAGGTGTCGCGGTAAGATTTATTGTCTTAATTAATACGTCTGATTATATCTAGGCCTGAACAATTATAACAGTAAGGGAGATCGCAATCAAGCTATATAAATGTTTTACCAGATATTATTTAACTTGCTTCCTCTGTCCGTCGTGCTTTTGACAAATCTTGAATCTGTCGTCACGGATCGCAACTGGCGAGCGAGATTTCGACCACTTCTAACCGACCAATTTGTCTGAAACGTGGCTCGTGGGTCAAAACCCGATGTCAATTCAATCTGACATCCGATTTGACTTATCCAATGCATAATTATTTTTAATACACAATATAAGGACTGCTACAAAAATAAAAATGTACTCGGTTAATGTTGATTTTAAATTCCCAGGTTCAGATAATGATCAACTCAGAGATCGTGACCGCCCTGGGAGAGAACTACAGCGTGCAGACGGGCGTGGAGTACGTCCAGAGCTTTGAGGAGCAGCTGTACCTCAAGATGCAGGTCAAGACGATCGCATGCATCGCTATAGTCATGTGCCTGGTGCCCTTGTTACTGGTCACAGAGGTCATCTTCGAGAGAACGGTGAGGTCACTTTACTGGTCACTTAGGTCATCTATGAGAGAACGGTGAGGTCACTTTTCTGGTCACTGAGTTCATCTATGAGAGAACGGTGAGGTCACTTTTCTGGTCACTGAGTTCATCTATGAGAGAACGGTGAGGTCACTTTTCAGGTCACTGAGTTCATCTATGAGAGAACGGTGAGGTCACTTTTCAGGTCACTGAGGTCATCTATGAGAGAACGGTGAGGTCACTTTTCAGGTCACTGAGTTCATCTATGAGAGAACGGTGAGGTCACTTTTCTGGTCACTGAGTTCATCTATGAGAGAACGGTGAGGTCACTTTTCTGGTCACTGAGTTCATCTATGAGAGAACGGTGAGGTCACTTTTCAGGTCACTGAGTTCATCTATGAGAGAACGGTGAGGTCACTTTTCAGGTCACTGAGGTCATCTATGAGAGAACGGTGAGGTCACTTTTCAGGTCACTGAGTTCATCTATGAGAGAACGGTGAGGTCACTTTTCTGGTCAGTGAGGTCATCTATAAGAGAACGTTGAGGTCACTTTGCTGGTCAGTGAGGTCATCTATGAGAGAACGGTGAGGTCACTTTTCTGGTCACTGAGTTCATCTATGAGAGAACGGTGAGGTCAGTTTTCTGGTCATGAGGTCATCTATGAGAGAACGGTGAGGTCACTTTTCTGGTCAGTGAGGTCATCTTTGAGAGAACGGTGAGGTCACTTTTCTGGTCAGTGAGGTCATCTTTGAGAGAACGGTGAGGTCACTTTTCTGGTCAGTGAGGTCATCTATGAGAGAACGGTGAGGTCACTTTTCTGGTCAGTGAGGTCATCTATGAGAGAACGGTGAGGTCACTTTTCTGGTCAGTGAGGTCATCTTTGAGAGAACGGTGAGGTCACTTTTCTGGTCAGTGAGGTCATCTATGAGAGAACGGTGAGGTCACTTTTCTGGTCACTGAGGTCACTTGCTCGGGGTTCTAGACACTTTTCATTATAAATCGAAAATCTTGTTGGCCTAGAGCAGTAATAATCTAAGCTGATAGAACTGTTATTTTAGGCTGACAATTTCACACACTCCTTCCATCCAATGAAATAACGTTTTTCAGAACGGTTTCACCCATTCCTTCCATTCAATGAAACAATGTTTTTCAGAACGGCGCTAGACACCTCCAGTCTGTGAGTGGCGTCAACACCTGTGTCTTCTGGCTGGGCACCTACATCTTCGACCTGCTCGTCTACCTGTTCGTGGCCGCGACCATCGTCCTGGCCCTCATGTACAGCCCCGAGTACTACATCCGGTGCGGCCACTGGAACGCCACGATCACCTTGTTGCTCGTGTTCGGCCTGACCGTCTTCCCGTACCTCTACGCCTTCCAGAGCGTCTTCTACACAGCCATCACCGGCAGCATAACCATGCTCATCTACAACACCTTCATGGGTCAGTCGGAGATCCGCTTTACACTAGGCACAAACGTGTAGGACGTTGTAAATTACTGCTCGGTGGTTGACCAAATAATATTGACTCTACTAACCAAATCACCCAAGTCATGATATAAATACATACATACATATGTTTAGCTATATAAGCATATGTAATTTAACACATACAGTTTATATATATATATATATATATATATATATATATATATATATATATATATATATATATATATATATATATATATATATATACTACACGTACGCATACATATGGCTGTCCATATATATAAATATATATATATATATATATATATATATATATATATATATATATATATATATATATATATATATATATATATATATATTTATTTATTTATTTATTTATATAGGCCCTATATATATATATATTTAGGGCCTATATATATATATATGTATATATATATATATATATATATATATATATATATATATATATATATATATATATATATATATATATATATATATATTATAGATAGATAGTCTGGGTAGGTGGTGATCAAGTAGCACGACTAGATGCTAAAGCTTGCCCACTCCATACAGGCCTATTGATGAGCATGGTGATTGCACTGACCAAGATCTACGCCCAGTCCATGAAGGATTACCTCGGCCTTATTGACAACCTCCTGGGTGCCGTGTCCCCCAATTACCTGCTGTCCTACTCACTGCTCACACTCGTCTCTAGGACCGTCAAGTCTACAGTCAACGGTCAGTTGGTCTGTGCTACACTTAACAAGCACTTGCTCAAGTTAGGGAAATGTTGCATTGATCGTTTGTTTGATGTTGGGTCATAAGTATGTCAAAACATGAGCCGTTTGATCGTGTGTCTGTCTAGACGCGCGTCTGATTGTATCTTATTACCTGTGTCGCCTCTGTGTCCAGTCGGGTATCTGGTTGTGTCCTATATGAAGCCAGTTCGTGTGTCCCCCCTAGGTACGTGTCTGTCCTGTCTAGTCGTTTGTCCTTCTAGGTACGTATCTGTCCTGTCTAGTCGTGTGTCTGACTGTGTCCTATCTCCAGCCACTACGTGTCTCCCCTAGGTACATGTGTCTGTCTAGTCGTGTGTCTGTCTAGTCGTGTGTCTGTCTAGTCGTGTGTCTGTCTAGTCGTGTGTCTGTCTAGTCGTGTGTCTGACTGTGTCCTATCTCCAGCCACTATGTGTGTCTCCCCTAGGTACGTGTGTCTGTCTAGTCGTGTGTCTGACTGTGTCCTATCTCCAGCCACTATGTGTGTCTCCCCTAGGTACGTGTGTCTGTCTAGTCGTGTGTCTGTCTAGTCGTGTGTCTGTGTCCTATCTCCAGCCACTATGTGTGTCTCCCCTAGGCACGTGTGTCTCCCACTCCTGGCCAAACGAGACACGACTGATACTAAACATGGAAATGTTCGTCGTCCAGTTCATCATCTCCTGGCTGATGATCGCGTGTGTGGAGTACGAGATCTACAGGTCAATACACTTTTACCACATTTTTCTCACGTTGTTTTTAAATATCGAAATCCAAAACTTAAATATAAATGTCGAAGTTAGTTTTCTGGATTACTACTGTGAACCCTAACTATGATTGATATCAGTACAACTGTTAGAATATTTACCATCAGCTACTATCAAGTACCAAAAAAAAATTAAATTTCTACTTCGTTTTTATCCACAACAACATCTTCCCCAGCAAATACATTTTACCCACATAACCAGTTGGCGTGCTGCTCCAAGGATAAAAACAAGGCTGACAAAGTTAACATATTTTCTCACCAGCAAATACATTTTACCCATGTACCTGTTGGTGTGTTGCTCCAAGGATAAAAACAAGGCTGACAAACTTAACATATTTTCTCACCAGCAAATACATTTTACCCATGTACCAGTTGGTGTGCTGCTCCAAGGATAAAAACATGGCTGACAAAGTTAACATATTTTCTCACCAGCAAATACATTTTACCCATGTACCAGTTGGCGTGAAGCTCCAAGGATAAAAACATGGCTGACAAAGTTAACATATTTTCTCACCAGCAAATACATTTTACCCATGTACCAGTTGGCGTGCTGCTCCAAGGATAAAAACATGGCTGACAAAGTTAACATATTTTCTCACCAGCAAATACATTTTACCCATGTACCTGTTGGTGTGCTGCTCCAAGGATAAAAACATGGCTGACAAAGTTAACATATTTTCTCACCAGCAAATACATTTTACCCATGTACCTGTTGGTGTGCTGCTCTAAAGATAAAAACAAGGCTGACAAAGTTAACATATTTTCTCACCAGCAAATACATTTTACCCATGTACCTGTTGGTGTGCTGCTCTAAAGATAAAAACATGGCTGACAAAGTTAACATATTTTCTCACCAGCAAATACATTTTACCCATGTACCTGTCGGTGTGTTGCTCCAAGGATAAAAACAAGGCTGCCCCTTACATGTTCTGTCAAGACCAGGAGGTGAACGACGAGGGTGCACGAGTGGAAACTCTGGCCCAGTCGCCGGAAAGCAACAACGGTAGGGCTTTTTCATGTTGCGATAAACACGGACACGTACTGAAACGCAGAGGCGTCGCGAGGCGAGGCGGGGGTGCGGACCGCACCGGGTGACACCATTGGAGGGGGGATGATACCAAGACAAAAAATATAAAATACATACAAGATAAATGATTTTTGCCAGTTCAATTAATGATTAATTGGAGTTATAAAGTCTTTTAAGTGCTAATTAAATATTCCGGCAATGGAAAAGGGGGTGACATTATGATTGCCGCACTGAGTGACACCCGACCTCGCTACGCCATTGCTGAAACGTGTCACTTTACTAAAGGTAGTTTAGGTTTCATTCGGGTTTAATAAATTGTAAGCTGACTTACACGCTTGACTTACTAATTATAGTTTAGGTTTCATTCGGGTTTAATAAATTGTAAGCTAACTTATAAGCGTGACTTTACTAACGTTAGTTTAGGTTGGATCAAGTTTACATAAATTGTGAACAAACTGTCGGTTTGTGGTGAGGTTTTCTGTGATCATACTGCCTTGCTTTAACACAAAGCCCTGAAATAGTTTTGTTTAAAGCAGGTAGCAATGATAACCGTTAACCAAAGCTGAAGGTAGAACAAAATAACAAACGCTGGAACCCCATTTTCAGAGGTGCTGCTGATGGTGAACGTGGAGAAGACGTACAGCAACTGCTACTACACCAACAGGGCTGTGTACCCCACATCCCTGGGGATGTCACCAAACGAAAGCTTCGGGCTGCTGGGGAAGAGCAACTCAGGCAAAACCAGCATTCTGAAGATGATTATTGGTGACACTCAGCCTACGGCCGGGGATATCTATGTGCTCAAACACAACGTCAAGACGGAGCTAACGAAGGTAAGCTACATCCACTGATGGCAGTGGCGAAACTAGGACGCCCCTCTATTTCTGTCAGTGGCGACACTACCACACATACCTACACACTTACCCAAAGACTCATCTCATGCCATATAACACAAGTTTGAGAACCGCACGATTCACTTATTATGCTACAGTACACTCCCCGCATGGTGTGAATGGTGAACGTTCACAACTAGGGTACCAAAAAGCCATCTCTGACCTGACTCATCCATCAGGCCAGCACCAAGCTGGGTTACTGCCCTGAGAACAACGCCCTCCATGACATGCTCACGGGGCGGGAGACGCTGTACCTGTACGGGAGGATCAGGGGCGTCCCCGACAGAAGCTTAGAAGATGTCGTTGAGGTCGTTATAGACTTTATCACGCTCCGGCCTTACGAGAATAAGGTGGTGAGAAGATACAGGTGAGGGAGTGGTTGGGTGGGTGGGTAGATTTTAGATGGGTGGGTGGGTAGGTGGGTGGGTGGGTGGGTGGGTAGATGGGTGGGTGGGTGGGTAGATGGGTGGGTGGGTGGGTGGGTGGGTAGATGAGTGGGTGGGTGGATGGGTAGATGGATGGGTGGGTGGGTGGGTGGGTAGGTGGGTAGATGGGTGGGTAGGTGGGTAGATGGTTGGGTGGGTAGGTGGGTGGTTGGGTAGGTGGGTAGATGGGTGGGTGGGTAGATGGGTGGGTAGATGGGTGGGTGGGTGGGTGGGTAGATGGGTGGGTGGGTAGATGGGTGGGTAGATGGGTGGGTAGATGGGTGGGTGGGTGAGTAGATGGGTGGGTGAGTAGATGATATCTTTAACCAATTCAGTGACTGGCGGGATACACGGATGGGTGGGTAGGTAGATGGGTGGGTGGGTGGGTGGGTAGGTGGGTGGGTGGGTAGATGGGTGGCTGGGTGGGTAGATGGGTGGCTGGGTGGGTAGATGGGTGGGTGGGTAAATGAGTGGGTGGTAGGGTGGGTAGATGAGTGGGTGGGTGGGTGGGTAGATGGGTGGGTGGGTGGGTAGGTGGGTAGATGGGTGGGTGGGTGAGTAGATGGTTGGGTGGGTAGGTGGGTGGTTGGGTAGGTGGGTAGATGGGTGGGTGGGTAGATGGGTGGGTGGGTGGGTGGGTAGATGGGTGGGTAGATGGGTGGGTGGGTAGATGAGTGGGTGGGTGGGTGGGTAGATGGGTGGGTGGGTGGGTAGGTGGGTAGATGGGTGGGTGGGTAGATGAGTGGGTGGGTGGGTGGGTAGATGGGTGGGTGGGTGGGTAGGTGGGTAGATGGGTGGGTGGGTGAGTAGATGGTTGGGTGGGTAGGTGGGTGGTTGGGTAGGTGGGTAGATGGGTGGGTGGGTAGATGGGTGGGTGGGTGGGTAGATGGGTGGGTGGGTGGGTAGATGGGTGGGTGGGTGGGTAGATGGGTGGGTGGGTAGGTGGAGAGGTGGGTAGATGGGTGGGTGGGGAGATAGGTGGGTGGGTGGGTGGGTGGGTAATGAGTTTGGGTAGATGAGTGGGTGGGTGGGTGGGTGGGTAGATGAGTGGGTGGGTGGGTAGGTGGGTAGATGAGTGGGTGGGTGGGTGGGTAGATGGATGGGTGGGTGGGTGGGTGGGTAGGTGGGTAGATGGGTGGGTGGGTGGGTAGATGGTTGGGTGGGTAGGTGGGTGGTTGGGTAGGTGGGTAGATGGGTGGGTGGGTAGATGGGTGGGTGGGTGGGTGGGTAGATGGGTGGGTGGATAGATGGGTGGGTAGATGGGTGGGTAGATGGGTGGGTGGGTGAGTAGATGGGTGGGTGGGTAGATGATAGCTGGTAACCAATTCAGTGACTGGCGGGATACACGGATGGGTGGGTGGGTAGATGGGTGGGTGGGTGGGTGGGTGGGTAGATGGGTGGCTGGGTGGGTAGATGGGTGGCTGGGTGGGTAGATGGGTGGGTGGGTAGATGATAGCTGGTAACCAATTCAGTGACTGGCGGGATACACGGATGGTTCATTTTAGAGTTGTAGACTACTCGGTTAATAAATAAAAGAGATGCAATTTGATGCAATGTTGCAACATGTTTTACAGTAGCAAGTTGGCGTGTTGTGTGTTACATTAGTGACGTGTTGTGTGTTACGGTAGATACTTGACGTGTTGTGTGTTACAGTAGATACTTGACGTGTTGTGTGTTACGGTAGATACTTGACGTGTTGTGTGTTACGGTAGATACTTGACGTGTTGTGTGTTACAGTAGATACTTGACGTGTTGTGTGTTACGGTAGATACTTGACGTGTTGTGTGTTACAGTAGATACTTGACGTGTTGTGTGTTACAGTAGATACTTGACGTGTTGTGTGTTACGGTAGATACTTGACGTGTTGTGTGTTACAGTAGATACTTGACGTGTTGTGTGTTACAGTAGATACTTGACGTGTTGTGTGTTACAGTAGATACTTGACGTGTTGTGTGTTACAGTAGATACTTGACGTGTTGTGTGTTACGGTAGATACTTGACGTGTTGTGTGTTACAGTAGATACTTGACGTGTTGTGTGTTACAGCAGATACTTGACGTGTTGTGTGTTACAGTAGATACTTGACGTGTTGTGTGTTACAGCCACAACAACAAACGAAAACTCTCCCTGGGTATCGCCATCATGGGGAAACCCGTTCTGCTGGTGCTGGATATGCCGACCGTAGGTATGGGCCGCATGTCCAGGCGGATCATGTGGAACGTCTTGCACCTGATCCAGATCTCTGGACACAGTCTCATTATAGCCACGCGCAGGTGGGTCAAGGTCATTCCTCGTTTTCTATTCATCGGTATTTCTCAGTCATAGTCATACGTTTTCCTCTTAGCTGTTCTCCACACTGTGAAAGTCATACAACATTTGCTGCTAGTTTACAAGCACTATGTGCCGTGGTTAACTAAACACAACTTGCAGTATTGAGGAGTGTGAAGCGCTGTGCATGCGAATGGCTTTCATGCTCAACGGGCGGCTCATCACCATAGGGAGCCCGCAGGACCTCAAGCTCAGGTACGGCCAGGGCTACTGGGTGGTGCTCCAGCTCAACGTCACAAAGTCTGGGTCGTCCAAGATACTCGACGACGTCATCGTCTTTCTGCACCGCACGGTTCAAAGCACACACGTCACCAGTGTTGCAGAGCGTGTAAGTCTACCCTATACCAAACTATAAGCAGTATTTCAGAAAATCTTCCCTAACATTCTCCCATACCAAACTATATGGCCTATCCTGTGTGTTTATATGGCCCCACCCTGTGTGTTTATATGGCCCTACACTGTGTGTTTATCTTCTGTAACATTCTCCCATACCAAACTATAAGCTGTATTTCAGAACATCACTCCAAACCATTCTTCCATACAAACCAATCTATAAGCTCTCTACTTTATAAAACAAGTTTTGACACTTTAATGTAAAACCGAACAAGTATGACCTACTGCAAATATATATATATATATATATATATATATATATATATATATATATATATATATATATATATATATATATATATATATATGTGTGTGTGTGTGTTACGGTCAAAGCCCGAAGTGCGGCCAAAGCGCGGATTGGCCGGCCAATCCGCGCATTGGCCGGCTCTCTTGGCCAAAGCCCGAAGAACTTAGCACTAAGATCGTATTTCGTAGATTGGCCGGCCAATGCGCGCACTGGCCGGGACGTACTGGCCAAAGTCCGAAGCGCTTAAACTTGACAGCGTGTTTTGTACATTGGCCGGCCAATGCGCGCACTGGCCGGGATGTCCTGGCCAATGTTCTATCTAGACTAAGTTGTGATCGCATTTTCATTATTCCGGGTGCGTTTTCATTGATAGTAACGTATTGTTTAGCTCTTGTTTGTATAGCATTCTATATGCAAGGCGACATGGATCAAAAGGGCCGTCAGACCATGAGACAGACATAGCAGGTGGCTGTCAAAAAAAATGTAAATCCATGTTAGTTTTCATATATGGGCTCTCGATAAAATAGTTACTGGGGAAGATCTTGAGAACATTGAACAAGAAATGGAGGTTGCCATAAATGCAATGACATCCTCAGCTAACATATCTACTACCGTGGCGGAACGTCCAGACCAGTTGCGTGACAATAATGTGGCCAACAGATTCTGTATAGTTTGTGAAAAACATTGTAGTGCAGCTCATTCTTTTGGATCCTGTGGCAACGATGTCCATGATATTTGTGGAATACTCAATGAAGCGGACGAAGGGTACAGAGGGAACATTACCTGCAGATTGTGTCACAACAAACAAGACATCGTGGAACACAGATCAGCATCTCATACTGGCTAGCAAACTCAAGTTGCTAAGATGCTTAAAACATCAAATACAAAATTTAAAGATGGTGAAGTGGGTGACAATGTACGCATCCGTTTTCCAGATGTTGACAGAGGTCACGGTGATCCCCGAAGCGTGATTGCAGTTGTCATGAGCGTCGAGGGCGGTTTCTACAAATTAGGAACGGAACATGGTGTTCTAAAACAACTGTATGCTAGAAGTGAGTTTTCAATTCTTCACGAAAAACTGCTCTTATTGTCGTCAGTTGGCACTGAGAAAAAATCACTGCGAACCATCGCATCTTCACAATCATTGACTGGGGGCCAAGGCTACACTCGCTGCAATTGCACAACTAAGTGCTCAACAAATCGCTGTAAGTGTAAAAATAACAAGCTGCTATGTAATTCTAAATGCCATAAAAGTTCAACTTGTTGTAACAAATGATGATATTGACAGATTGAGACTATAGTACAATAAAAAATGTGAATGTTTCTGTCATTTACTTTAATTAATAATCAATAAAGACTTAATTTCATGATCCTTACGGCATAAAAAAAACGAAAATCTACTCATGATCCTCTAATTCGGACTTTGGCCGGTCGTCCTTAGCCAGATGATGTTCTAATTAAGACTTTGGCCGGTCCACGATGGCCAACTGGCCGGCCAAAGGCCGAAATCAAGAGCTATTTCAGACTTTGGCCGGTCCTCCACGGCCAGTCTGCGGATTGGCCGGCCAAAGGCCGAAATGAAGCAAAGTTTCGGACTTTGGCCGACTTATGGGAGGCGATATTGGCCATATATATATATATATATATATATATATATATATATATATATATATATATATATATATATATATATATATATATATATATATATATATATATATATATATATATATGTAACTATAAACATTTAAAACGGCATCTGACACATGGCGGAGGGAGGGGGGAGGGGTCTCTTTATCTTAGTAAATCCCTACAACTACTATATTTGACTGTAAACCTCCTGACAATTTGTATCCTCAGGTCATCATCAGGGAAGCGGACTCGTGCGAGATCCACTACCCCCAGCCCGTCTCTCTGGTCTCGCTGTTCAGGAGTCTGATTCTAGCCAAGGAGAGATTCAACCTGCGGGCATTCAGCGTGCAGCAGTTGACTCTCAGACACATCTTCCTCATGCTCATCAACGACAGAGCGTCCTTCTAGGCACAAACATCGCCGCATAAGCGTAGAGACTGATGCAGATATTTCATCCAGTCAAGAGAGGGGGGGGGACGTTACATTAGATGTGAATGTAGTGGCGCACAATAAAATATATCTTAACCAACGCATTGTTTCTTTTTATATCAAAAAACTTAATTATTATTTCCTCTCCCTTTCTCTCTCTCTCTCTCTCGCTCTCTCTATTTATCTATCTATCTATCTATCTATATATATATATATATATATATATATATATATATATATATATATATATATATATATATATATATATATATATATATATATAAATATATACATATATATATATATATATATATATATATATATATATATATATATATATATATATATATATATGTGTGTGTGTGTGTGTGTGTGTGTATGTGGGTCCTGGGGAGGGGGAAGGTTCTAGCCTGTTCGTATAAAATTATTTTTAATCATATAAAAATGTACTACTATTATATATCTAAATAAAAAGAAAAGCGTCGGTCGCTATATTAATAATAGTATGTACTGAACTTGATGCATAACCGCACTAAAATCGTATAACTAGCCCAGGCTTTCTTATAATGAGTTAAATAAAAAGTGGGTTTTTTTTAGTGTATGAATACAAGCTTAAACCATAAACGTTTTTATTAAAACATGTTTTTATAATAAAACTAATTCGCATAAATAAGATATGTATATAATGATAAGTATTTATAGACACAACCTTTAATTAATGTTTATAAAAGTAATTGAACATCTAATTAAGTTAACATTTGGTACATGTCATTGTTATCGTGTCTTAACATAACGTGTCTAATGTGTTAAAATGTAGTTTACACAGAGGCGTAGCGACCCTTCCCGGCGCCCGGGGACAAACTTTTCGATTTGCACCCCCCCCCCTCGAAATTTTGATTTGCACCCCCCCCCCTCAAACTTTCGATTTGCACCCCCACCCCCCCGAGATTATGATTTGCTTTCGATTTACACACCCCCCTCAACCTTTCAATTTATTTTTCCAACCCATTTTGGTGCCCCCTAAGGTCGGCGCCCGGGGACATGTGTCCCCCCCCCCCCGCCCCCACCCCCCCCCCCTCGCTACGCTACTGAGTTTGCAAGTTTCGGTCCATTAGCGAAACAAGTACAAGAACTTAATAACGAGGAATCAAGTTAAAGAAAAGATTTAGAAGAAACTTCAGCTTAAACGGGGTTTTCCGGTTACAAATTTAAAAACGGAAGAATGGCAAGATAATAACGCACCATATATATCTAGTGCGGCGCGCTCTATTTTCTTAGGTTTTTGTAAAAATTAAATCTTTACACTTTATTTAGTTGAAATGTATGAATATTTTCATCTCCTTCTATTTTATCACGGGACGTCCATGAAGGTACAGAGAAGATTTTATTGAGGGACGGATTCGGTTTTTAAAATGTTTTTTGCACAACTTTCGGCGCTTCTATGGAAAAATTATATCACTAAAATTCGGACATGGAGTAGTATTGCTGCACAAATATGTAAGTCTAGGGTAGTGGTGACATATGAAACACACAGAGTAGGGCCATATAAACACACAGGTTAGGGCCATATAAACACATAGGGTAGGCCATATAAACACAGGGTAGGGCCATATAAACACATAGGGTAGGCCATATAAACACACAGGGTAGGGCCATATAAACACATAGGGTAGGGCCATATAAACACAGGGTAGGGCCATATAAACACACACGGTAGGGCCATATAAACACACAGGGTAGGCCATATAAACACACAGGGTAGGGCCATATAAACACACAGGGTAGGGCCATATAAACACACATGGTAAGGCCATATAAACACACAGGGTAGGGCCATATAAACACATAGGGTAGGCCATATAAACACAGGGTAGGGCCATATAAACACATAGGGTAGGCCATATAAACACACAGGGTAGGGCCATATAAACACACAGAGTTGAACCATATAAACACATAGGGTAGGGCCATATAAACACACAGGGTAAGGCCATATAAACACACAGGGTAGGGCCATATAAACACACAGAGTTGAACCATATAAACACACAGGGTAGGCCATATAAACACACATGGTAAGGCCATATAAACATACAGGGTAGGGCCATATAAACACACACGGTAGGCCATATAAACACACAGAGTAGGGCCATATAAACACATAGGGTAGGGCCATATAAACGCACAGGGTAGGGCCATATAAACACACAGAGTTGAACCATATAAACACATAGGGTAGGGCCATATAAACACACAGGGTAAGGCCATATAAACACACAGGGTAGGGCCATATAAACACACAGAGTTGAACCATATAAACACATAGGGTAGGGCCATATAAACACACAGGGTAAGGCCATATAAACACACAGGGTAGGGCCATATAAACACACAGAGTTGAACCATATAAACACACAGGGTAGGGCCATATAAACACATAGGGTAGGGCCATATAAACATACAGGGTAGGGCCATATAAACACATAGGGTAGGGCCATATAAACACATAGGGTAGGGCCATATAAACACATAGGGTAGGGCCATATAAACACATAGGGTAGGGCCATATAAACACGCAGTGTAGGGCCATATAAACAAATAGGGTAGGGCCATATAAACACATAGGGTAGGGCCATATAAACACAGGGTAGGGCCATATAAACTAAAATAGTTGGGCCAATAAACACAATAAACAGGCCCATATACACAAGGTGGTGTATATAAGCTCACATAAAATGTTTTCACATGTATTAATGCAAATAGGAGCCAAAATGATCGTTATATAAAGGTCACATATATAAAGGTCACATATAAAGACACATTCAAATACACGGTACTTTTACTGAAAAGATATATACTCCAGCGTTATATAAACTTAAAAGTCGAAGCACAATGAGTGGATCAACTCCGAGTTTTCGCGACTGTGTAACTATAGCAATAGCATAGTTTATGTCAGTCATTCCAATCCGCATTTGCTGTATTGTGACTGTGTAACTATAGCATAGTTTATTTCAGTTATTCCAATCTGCCTCTGCTGTATTATGACTGTGTAACTATAGCATAGTTTATTTCAGTTATTCCAATCTGCATCTGTTGTATTGTGACTGTGTAACTATAGCAATAGCATAGTTTATTTCAGTTATTCCAATCTGCATCTGTTGTATTGTGGCTGTGTAACTATAGCATAGTTTATTTCAGTTATTCCAATCTGCATCTGCTGTATTGTGGCTTTCTTGCAAATCACCAATGACATCAAGATTGAGCCCCTGGCATTGTCCAACGCCACAAAGGTCAGTAGTGGTCCAGCTAAGCAGTTGGTCTACACGCCCAGATCACCTGCTCTCGAAGAGTTTCTCAAGATGGCCAGTCCCAAAAGATGTAAGTTTTTTAAAACTCTTTCACTGATGAAAAACCAAGCATGGTGATTTTTTTTTATCAGACACCAAAATCAAAGTTAGCATCTTGTTTTCTTGTATATATTGTATCAGTTTTTAGACCTAGATCTAGCTTTTGTTATGCCTCTTGTTCTACTTCAAGTTCTACCCAATGCTCTACCTCATGTTACACCTATTGTTCTACCTATTGTTCTAATGTTCTACTTCAAGTTCTACCTAATGCTCTACCTAATGTTTTACTTATTGTTCTACCTAATGCTCTACCTAATCGTATACCTCATGTTCTACTTATTGTTCTACCTATTGTTCTAATATTCTACCACATGTTCTACCTAATGTTCTACCTATTGTTCTACCTAATGTTCCACCCTATGAATAAAGCACAGAGGCCACTAATTTTGCTAGTGGGGTAGCTTGACTTTACTGTAACCCTCTCCAATAATGTAACTCAGTGTGAGGGTTACCTGAAAACAAACGTCGTGGAAACAAATCCAAAAGAAAAGCAGGCTGAAATCGGAGCCATATGGTGCATACCAGGCTGACATGTAATGCTCATTTGTGTTGAAGGAGATTCCGTCCATTATTACAATTAACAACGAAGAAGACATTCTTTTATCATTGCACATAACGACTTTTTAAAAATGTATTTCCTTAGGTTAATATTTTATTTTTCAGTTTCCGGTACTACTCCGTTCTCATCGACGAAAGCGGCGAGAAAGTATATCTCGAGCCTCAGCCCAAACAAAGTATACCCTATGGTACATTTCATGCACGATAACTCGCATGAGGTCCCCAAGCAGCTGGTTTTCGTAGTTGCAGTAGATGTGACGAGCAAAATACCCAGACACATCTACGGCGATAGCATTGGTAAACTGTTATTGTCTGAATCTATGGGGATGGAACTGGCAAAAAAATTGATGCCTTATTTCGTGAATATTCGGCAACGTTGGTTACTACAGTTTGGAATGATAACGGTTGATAGTATTGTTTTCCTGTAGGGAATTTATGCTGTGAATAAGTTATTGTATATTATAGTATTTATAGAAGAGTCGGGAGTTCAGTATTGTAACATAGCTTGTCAAAAATCTAAAGACCCTCTCTCGTAATGAGCTACATAGTTCATGTAACATAGCTTGTCAAAAATCTTAAGACCCTCTCTCGTAATGAGCTATATAGTTAATGTCATGCTGTAGCACTAACGGGTGTTGGTTTAAATAATTCCTTGAATGGGCTGTCCTCTAAAGGCAGATTACAAACAATATGTCTGTTGGTTTAAATAATTCCTTGAATGGGCTGTCCTCTAAAGGCAGATTACAAACAATATGTCTGTTGGTTTAAATAATTCCTTGAATGGGCTGTCCTCTAAAGGCAGATTACAAACAATATGTCTGTTGGTTTAAATAATTCCTTGAATGGGCTGTCCTCTAAAGGCAGATTACAAACAATATGTCTGCTGGTTTAAATAATTCCTTGAATGGGCTGTCCTCTAACGACAGATTACAAGCAATATGAAGTCCTGGAGCTCCAGTACGAGATCACCCGGGCGTTCATCAAGTACTGGCAGCGTGAGAGCAACAGGACGACGACGGACTTCCATGTTCTGGTGCAACAGATGCCCTTGCCGGAGGCGGACAAAGCGAAGACCATCATGGACTCGGCGGATGTCTGGAGATTTGTCTCCATCGTCTTCCTGGGGCTCCTGTGTTTGACGGCTTCCGACATTGTGGAAGAAAAAACTACCAAAATTAAAGTTAGTCTTTACTTCATTTCAGGGGGTGAAATCTATGCAAGAGTTGTATTTATTAAACACTAGTTACCTTCCTCTAGCAACTTTACTCCGCGTTCAATATTACAGACAGTGCAGTCTAATTTTAAAATATTACTGTAATGAAGTAAAAGAAAATGCTCTAATAATCCGCAGTTCAATGAAAATATCACAGACAGTACAGTCTAATTTAAAGTTATGACTGTGATGAAGTAAAAGAAAATGCTCCAATGTTCTGCAGTTCAAATGAAAATATCACAGACAGTGCAGTCTAATTTAAAGTTATGACTGTAATGAAATAAAAGAAAATGCTCTAATAATCCGCAGTTCAATGAAAATATCACAGACAGTACAGTCTAATTTAAAGTTATGACTGTAATGAAGTAAAAGAAAATACTCCAATGTTCTGCAGTTCAATGAATTCTACCAAATGATCAGTAACATGAGTTTTTACAACTAGGAATCCATGAAGCTGATGGGCCTGGGTGAGACTGTCTACTGGCTGTCTTGGTTCATCATTAGCTTCATCTACGGCACCTTCATCGCCCTCATGCTAGTGCTCGTGATGTGTGTGGACTTCTCGTCCCAAGGAACGGTCCTCAATACCTCGCCACTCGTCTTCTTCCTGATGGAAATTATGCTTTCGGTCAATACCGTGTCGGCTTCATTCGTTATTGCGTGTATAACAACTAAAGGTAAGTCATTCGTTATTGCGTGTATATCAACTAAAGGTAAGTCATTCGTTATTGCGTGAATATCACCAAAAGGTAAACTGCTAGATTTTTAGAAAGGATTTAATATATTTATCGTACTAAAATAACTATGAAATACTGAACGCTGTAGTAAGATCCTATGTGGAAGCCCTTCAATGATTCCCTAAAACGTTGTGCGTGTCATTTCAGTGCGTGAGGTGTTGTTTCTGGGCGTGCTGCTCCACTTCAATGATTCCCTAAAACGTTGTGCGTGTCATTTCAGTGCGTGAGGTGTTGTTTCTGGTCGCGCCGCTCCACTTCAATGATTCCCTAAAACGTTGTGCGTGTCATTTCAGTGCGTGAGGTGTTGTTTCTGGGCGTGCTGTCCACTTCAATGATTCCCTAAAACGTTGTGCGTGTCATTTCAGTGCGTGAGGTGTTGTTTCTGGGCGTGCTGTCCACTTCAATGGTTCCCTAAAACGTTGTGCGTGTCATTTCAGTGCGTGAGGTGTTGTTTCTGGTCGCGCCGCTCCACTTCAATGATTCCCTAAAACGTTGTGCGTGTCATTTCAGTGCGTGAGGTGTTGTTTCTGGGCGTGCTGTCCACTTCAATGGTTCCCTAAAACGTTGTGCGTGTCATTTCAGTGCGTGAGGTGTTGTTTCTGGTCGCGCCGCTCCACTTCAATGATTCCCTAAAACGTTGTGCGTGTCATTTCAGTGCGTGAGGTGTTGTTTCTGGGCGTGCTGTCCACTTCAATGATTCCCTAAAACGTTGTGCGTGTCATTTCAGTGCGTGAGGTGTTGTTTCTGGGCGTGCTGCTCCACTTCAATGATTCCCTAAAACGTTGTGCGTGTCATTTCAGTGCGTGAGGTGTTGTTTCTGTGCGTGCTGTCCACTTCAATGATTCCCTAAAACGTTGTGCGTGTCATTTCAGTGCGTGAGGTGTTGTTTCTGGGCGTGCTGCTCCACTTCAATGATTCCCTAAAACGTTGTGCGTGTCATTTCAGTGCGTGAGGTGTTGTTTCTGGGCGTGCTGCTCCACTTCGCCATGGAAGACATCAGCTACACCCTCATCATCTACAACGAGTCGAAGCTCGTGCTCTACCTCATGGGGACCGTGCTCCACCGGCTCGGCTACTTCATGTCCATGTCGGTCTTGATCGAGAAGGAGAACTTAGGTGAGGTTACCTGGTGTTAGGGGGTGGGGGGGGGGGGGGGGGGGGGGTAACCAAACTCATGAGGTCTAGTGAGTCTAGATGTGTTGATGATGGATTTTAGATATGCAGATGATGGGTCGATTATGTTCGTGTGTGTATGTGTGTGTGTGTGTGACAGTGGTAGATCAACTAAAATCAGAATAGCTTGTGTATTTACGTGTGTGTGGCAGTTGTGGATCAACTAAAATCAGAATAGCTTGTGTATTTACGTGTGTGTGACAGTCGTAGATCAACTAAAATCAGAATAACTAGTGTATTTACATGTGTTTGACAGTTGTGGATTAACTAAAATCGGAGCGACTTTTGTGTGTGTGTATGTACGTGTGTGTGTGTGACAGAAGTGTTGTGTGCGTGTGTCTAGGCCTGGACGTGCAGTATGTAAGTGGAGGATGATCAAAAGTCAAGAAACCTATCGAGTTTAACCGTCAGAATGTTAGTATAGTCAAGAGCACTTTCAATCTATTTAATCAAAGTATTCAGGAGGGGTAGAGACATAGCTTCTCCGTCCAGTAACTTTATCCCACGTATGTCAGTTCTATTCCCATCTTTATATCCCATAGCTTCTCCGTCCAGTAACTTTATCCCACGTATGTCAGTTCTATTCCCATCTTTATATCCCATAGCTTCTCCGTCCAGTAACTTTATCCCACGTATGTCAGTTCTATTCCCATCTTTATATCCCATAGCTTCTCCGTCCAGTAACTTTATCCCACGTATGTCAGTTCTATTCCCATCTTTATATCCCATAGCTTCTCCGTCCAGTAACTTTATCCCACGTATGTCAGTTCTATTCCCATCTTTATATCCCATAGCTTCTCCGTCCAGTAACTTTATCCCACGTATGTCAGTTCTATTCCCATCTTTATATCCCATAGCTTCTCCGTCCAGTAACTTTATCCCACGTATGTCAGTTCTATTCCCATCTTTATATCCCATAGCTTCTCCGTCCAGTAACTTTATCCCACGTATGTCAGTTCTATTCCCATCTTTATATCCCATAGCTTCTCCGTCCAGTAACTTTATCCCACGTATGTCAGTTCTATTCCCATCTTTATATCCCATAGCTTCTCCGTCCAGTAACTTTATCCCACGTATGTCAGTTCTATTCCCATCTTTATATCCCATAGCTTCTCCGTCCAGTAACTTTATCCCACGTATGTCAGTTCTATTCCCATCTTTATATCCCATAGCTTCTCCGTCCAGTAACTTTATCCCACGTATGTCAGTTCTATTCCCATCTTTATATCCCATAGCTTCTCCGTCCAGTAACTTTATCCCACGTATGTCAGTTCTATTCCCATCTTTATATCCCATAGCTTCTCCGTCCAGTAACTTTATCCCACGTATGTCAGTTCTATTCCCATCTTTATATCCCATAGCTTCTCCGTCCAGTAACTTTATCCCACGTATGTCAGTTCTATTCCCATCTTTATATCCCATAGCTTCTCCGTCCAGTAACTTTATCCCACGTATGTCAGTTCTATTCCCATCTTTATATCCCATAGCTTCTCCGTCCAGTAACTTTATCCCACGTATGTCAGTTCTATTCCCATCTTTATATCCCATAGCTTCTCCGTCCAGTAACTTTATCCCACGTATGTCAGTTCTATTCCCATCTTTATATCCCATAGCTTCTCCGTCCAGTAACTTTATCCCACGTATGTCAGTTCTATTCCCATCTTTATATCCCATAGCTTCTCCGTCCAGTAACTTTATCCCACGTATGTCAGTTCTATTCCCATCTTTATATCCCCAGGCCAAGCTCTGACGTTCGACAACATAGGAAAAGACGAGCTTGAGCTGAAGATCACATTCCTTGACGGTCTGCTGGTAATGACGTTGAACACCATCTTCAACTTCTACCTCGTCTGGTACTTGAACAACATTTTCCCGGGGAAGTACGGCATCCGCAAGCCCTATTATTTCTTCGTCATGGTACGATGGTCAACGGGTTGTACGATTTTGTTATTTTTTTACCGTCTACATTGTGACTGTATCGGTCAAGTTTGAGTAAAACAGGATCTAGTAAAGTTTGAGTAAAACAGGATCTAGTAAAGTTTGATTAAAACAGGATCTAGTAAAGTTTGAGTAAAACAGGATCTAGTAAAGTTTGAGTAAAACAGGATCTAGTAAAGTTTGAGTAAAACAGGATCTAGTAAAGTTTAATTAAAACAGGATCTAGTAAAGTTTGAGTAAAACAGGATCTAGTAAAGTTTGAGTAAAACAGGATCTAGTAAAGTTTGAGTAAAACAGGATCTAGTAAAGTTTGAGTAACAGGATCTAGTAAAGTTTGATTAAAAAAGGATCTAGTAAAGTTTGAGTAAAATAGGATCTAGTAAAGTTTGAGTAAAACAGGATCTAGTAAAGTTTGAGTAAAACAGGATCTAGTAAAGTTTGAGTAAAACAGGATCTAGTAAAGTTTGATTAAAACAGGATCTAGTAAAGTTTGAGTAACAGGATCTAGTAAAGTTTGAGTAAAACAGGATCTAGTAAAGTTTGAGTAAAACAGGATCTAGTAAAGTTTGATTAAAACAGGATACAGTAAAGTTTGAGTAAAATAGGATCTAGTAAAGTTTGAGTAAAATAGGATCTAGTAAAGTTTGAGTAAAACAGGATATAGTAAAGTTTGAGTAAAACAGGATATAGTAAAGTTTGAGTAAAACAGGATCTAGTAAAGTTTGAGTAAAACAGGATATAGTAAAGTTTTAGTAAAACCAGATCAAGTAAAGTGTCCCTAGATCCCTATAGGGTCTGGTATTGACTGGGGAAAGTAACGCCATATTTTACTGTAGACAATAGCAGACCAAGTGTATAGGTGAGGCTCTTAACATTCGGTTACTTTATACAATAAAGGCTAGATGTTTCCAAAACAGTTAAATTCTCATATAATTAATACCTATACAATACAAAAACATTCTCTTCAATTTTAAATTCCGTGTGCATGGTTTATTTCTGGCATTTTCTTCGGGAGACACTTTAAACTGTTTCTGGGAGGAAAGGCGGAGGGATGGAGTGGTTAAAGAATTTATTTACATACTTTAAAACTTCTAATTCATGCGGGGAAGGGGGAATACAGTAAGTGCAGTTGAATCTAAAACGACCAGTTCTCCAGAGTGGTATAATAGTATAATAATACTAAATGTTTAGGGACAACTTCACACATTTGGTGTTTAACGTATTCAAATTTGTGTTAGAAGCACCTGTCTCATGGCTCATAGTGTTCAAATAAGTAACCAGATTTATTTACAGACATGAAAATGTACATAGACACGAATATATTTTATCAAATATAGCAAATATATGTATATGTATATTTAGCAAATATATGTATACAGGCTATATATATATATATATATATATATATATATATATATATATATATATATATATATATATATATATATATATATATATATATATATATATATATATATATATATATATATATATATATACATACATATTCGACAGCGTAGTTACTGGTGTCCCCAACAACACGCCCGCCGGGAGAGGGAGAGCAGCCGTGAGATTAATACAGACATGCCCAGCAACGATCCCATGTTTTTTGAAAAGCCAGGAGATCACTTAAAACCTGGAGTAAGAATCCGGGGATTATTCAAGGTAATAATGTGAACATTTCAAACAACACAGAGCAAACCGTGTGTCAGAACAATTGTGTTGGGAGTTACATTTCTCGACATTATTATTTTAAAATAAAAAAAAAAATCCGCGGGTGGTTGTTATACGCTTCCCTGTTGTTGGTTGTTTTTTTTTTTTGGTGTAAATACTGTAGAGATTTAAATGTATGGTGCTGTTGTAGAGATTTAAAGGTATGGTGTGGTTGTAGAGAACGTGTGGTATTGGTGTGGTTGTAGAGAACGTGTTTAATGGTGTGGTTTTATTTAGTTAGCAACGTCCTGTTGTGGGTGTGACAAATCTCGTAACTCAATGTTAACCCACTTCTTTATTTGTATGCGTCGATTTCGTTCAAACTTTTCCACATGCCTTTTTCTTTGATGGCAATGCCCCAGTGTTAAATGGTCATGTTGTATCATGGGGGCCCCAGTGTTAAATGGTCATGTTGTATTATGGGGGTCCCGTGTTAAATGGTCATGTTGTATCATGGGGGCCCCAGTGTTAAATGGTCATGTTTTATTATGGGGGTCCCGGGTTAAATGGTCATGTTTTATTATGGGGGTCCCGTGTTAAATGGTCATGTTTTATCATGGGGGCCCCAGTGTTAAATGGTCATGTTTTATCATGGGGGCCCCAGTGTTAAATGGTCATGTTTTATTATGGGGGTTGCGGGTTAAATGGTCATGTTTTATTATGGGGGTCCCGTGTTAAATGGTCATGTTTTATCATGGGGGCCCCAGTGTTAAATGGTCATGTTTTATTATGGGGGTCCCGGGTTAAATGGTCATGTTTTATTATGGGGGTCCCGTGTTAAATGGTCATGTTTTATCATGGGGGCCCCAGTGTTAAATGGTCATGTTTTATCATGGGGGCCCCGTGTTAAATGGTCATGTTTTATCATGGGGGCCCCGTGTTAAATGGTCATGTTTTATCATGGGGGCCCCGTGTTAAATGGTCATGTTTTATCATGGGGGCCCCAGTGTTAAATGGTCATGTTTTATCATGGGGGCCCCGTGTTAAATGGTCATGTTTTATCATGAGGGCCCCAGTGTTAAATGGTCATGTTTTATGATGGGGGCCCCAGTGTTAAATGGTCATGTTTTATCATGGGGGCCCCAGTGTTAAATGGTCATGTTTTATCATGGGGGCCCCAGTGTTAAATGGTCATGTTTTATCATGGGGGCCCCAGTGTTAAATGGTCATGTTTTATCATGGGGGCCCCGTGTTAAATGGTAATGTTTTATCATGGGGGCCCCAGTGTTAAATGGTCATGTTTTATCATGGGGGCCCCAGTGTTAAATGGTCATGTTTTATCATGAAGGCCCCAGTGTTAAATGGTCATGTTTTATCATGGGGGCCCCAGTGTTAAATGGTCATGTTGTATCATAGGGGCCCCAGTGTTAAATGGTCATGTTTTATCATGGGGGCCCCAGTATTAAATGGTCATGTTTTATCATGGGGGCCCCAGTATTAAATGGTCATGTTTTATCATGGGGGCCCCAGTGTTGAATGTTTATGTTTTATCATCCCAGATGTATGGTAAGAAGGAGGTCGTCTCAGACTTAAATCTTGACCTGCTTGAAGGCCAGATAACGGTTTTATTGGGCCACAACGGTGCGGGGAAAACAACCACAATCAATATAGCCACAGGTCAGTGTGGTTTTCTTGGGCCACAGGTTAGTGCAGGTTTGTAAGGCCATAGGTCAGTGTGGTTTTCTTGGGCCACAGGTTAGTGTGGTTTTCTTGGGCCACATGTCAGTGTGGTTTTCTTGGGCCACAGGTTAGTGCAGGTTACTGAACTTACTGCTTCCGTAGATTGTTTTTGCGTTGGCGAAGACTATGGAAAAAAAATTAGTACAAAAATAAAGCAGGCTGATTTTGCAGTCAACCGGCCACACGTCGCGTAACATGCTGCGGACAATTCGGCACACAACATGTTGAAACGTGATATTTATTTAGTATTTAGTCCTAAGACATGTAGCCCACAATAATACACACGACAGCGTCTTGATAGAGGACGTTATTGGGACTATATTTTATGCGCAGGTTTTCTGGCCCCAACCCAAGGCAGCGTCCTGATTGGGGACCTGAATGTGATAAAGAACACGGCGGACGCCCGGAAGTGTATCGGCCTGTGCACAGAACGTTTGAACCTGTTTCAAAAACTTACCTGTAAGGAGCACCTCATTTTCTTTCTTAAGGTGAGGGTTCATAACAGGTCTTCCATTTTGGTTCTGAACCCTAACACATCTCACGAGTAGACTTGGGTATAGACTTATAAGTGGTGTACTTCGGTGTTGATTTGTGACATAACTGACTGATGCATTTTACATTTTTATTAATAAAATTTGAGGTTATTATTACACCATATAGTTTCAGTAATTAATTCACCGCACTTTTTGTAAGGAGAGGGGGGGCGCGAAGAACACGTAGATTTGTTTTTTAATATCTAGATAATTTTTGTTGTTTGGAATATATAAATATTAAACCCTAATAAGTTTTAGTCGAATAAATACATTAGTTTAGACTTTTTTTATAACTGGAAGATTTAAAATGTTGTCCAATGTGTCAACTGTCCAGCTCAAGGGAATCTACTCTGCGAACCATTTAAACTCAGTGAAGGATTATTTAGACTATCTGGGGCTAAAAGACAAGCAAAACACCAGGTCAGGCGCCCTCTCTAATGGTCAGCAGAGGAAGTTATCCTTGGCTTGTGCTTTTATCGGGGACACCAAGGTAAACATTAGGGGTCACTAAGGTAAACATCCGGGGTCACTAAGGTAAACATCCGGGGTCACTAAGGTAAACATGCGGGGTCACTAAGGTAAACATTTGGGGTCACTAAGGTAAACATTCGGGGTCAGCTAGGTAAACATCCGGGGTCACTAAGGTAAACATGCGGGGTCACTAAGGTAAACATGCGGGGTCAGCAAGGTTTACATACGGGGTCACTAAGGTAAACATCCGGGGTCACTAAGGTAAACATGCGGGGTCAGCAAGGTAAACATGCGGGGTCAGCAAGGTAAACATTCGGGGTCAGCAAGGTAAACATTCGGGGTCACTACGGTAAACATCCGGGGTCACTAAGGTAAACATCCGGGGTCACTAAGGTAAACATTCGGGGTCACTAAGGTAAACATCCGGGGTCACTAAGGTAAACATCCGGGGTCACTAAGGTAAACATCCGGGGTCACTAAGGTAAAAATTCGGGGTCAGCAAGGTAAACATTCGGGGTCACCTAGGTAAACGTTCGGGTACACTAAAGTAAACATTCGGGGTCAGCAAGGTAAACATCCGGGTCACTAAGGTAAAAATTCGGGGTCAGCAAGGTAAACATTCGGGGTCACCTAAGTAAACGTTCGGGTACACTAAAGTAAACATTTGGGGTCAGCAAGGTAAACATCCGGGGTCACTTGGGAAGAAAAGTTTTAACAGCACTTCAGACCTGATACTTGTTTTGAATGCGGACTCCATTTTTTTTTCTATTCGTCTAAAAATATTTTTGGCTAACAAGGTTGTGTTTCTGGACGAGCCATCAACCGGCCTTGACCCCACGTCCAGACAGGAGATGTGGAGCTTCCTGAAACGGATGAGGACCAACAGGACCATCCTGCTGACCACCCACGACATGAACGAGGCGGAGCTGCTGGGCGACAGGATCGCCATCATGGTGGAGGGGAGAGTTAAATGCTGCGGCACGCCCATGTTTTTGAAAGAGGCCTACGGTAACTATGGTTTGAGGTGCCTTGTTCGGGGATAGATTTTAATCAATAAATACCGGTATTCCTGAACAGAGATACGATCCATAATACATTACTTTGGAAGTGCTAAGCTAGCCATTATTTTATTGTTACGGTTAACTTCGTTCACACATTATGTTTTTGGTGGCACAATCAAGGGGGATTATGATGAGTCGTGATGGTCCAACCTATAGCATAGCAGCGGTCCCACAGTGCGTTTGTGCGATCCAGCCATGACGTGTATAAAACAAGTTAATAAAAAGTCTAGTGACAATTTAAGCGCAATTTCCTTAATTAATTTTTTGTGACCGAACGAAAGGATATTTTTGAAAACTTTCTTCGGCAATATTGTTCTAAATTATGGCAGGAATCGATTGGTAAATGTTTCAAGTCGCTAAGTGGTCTAGTTGCCGAGATATGGGCCAAAAACTGCATTTTTTTTCGAGGTTTTTTGGCTTTTCCGGGAAATCCAGGAAGGAATTCCGGGAATTTTTTTGGCCCACAATCATCCTCGGAACTTGCTTAACATATTTGCTTTTGGAACTAGTCCTCGATATTGTTTCGTTGAGGAGGAGATACGACTTAAAGCTGCGGACACACATCCATCCAGAAATGACGAGTTAATAATCGCAATTGTCAGTATGGAAATTGCGCTAAAAACTGCTTTGATATTTGAATATATAATCCTTATACTTCTCGTATTGGGGATGACAGAATTTCTCTACTGCGGGCTCTATTAATTCTAGCACGGATGGCCTCTGTGTCTCCTGATTGGCTGGTCTTGTTGCCAAGGTAACCATGATGCGAGGTCAAATATATATTCCCTGATACTGCGAGGTCAAACATATATGAAATCTGTTACATGTGCCACATGGACTGATCCGACACTTCAAATTTGTTTCAAATTTCATGACATAAAGAATTCAGAAAGTGTAAGTTTCCAACCACTATTTTTCAGGTATTGGCTACGAAATGACGTTTATCAAAAGTCACGATTGTGTCACGGCTGAAATAACAAAGATAGTGACCAAAGCTATGCCGGAGGCCATTTACACAGTTGGTTGCCCTTTTTATACTAGTCATTTCCATGTTTAACCCTAGTCGAATCCTTCCAATGGAAGAGTGAGTAGCTCTCATGTCCATGTTAACCCTAGTCAAATCCTTCCAATGGAAGAGTGAGTAGCTCTCATGTCCATGTTAACCCTAGTCGAATCCTTCCAATGGAAGAGTAGCTCTCATAGCCCGTGTGCTCATGCTTGTTGGCAGGGTGAAACCAACTCGGAAATATTCTACCTGCTGCCCGAGGACTTGACGCACAAGTTCCCCGAGTTCCTCATGACACTGGAACACAGACAGGCCCCGCTCAAGTACGCCAGCTACACTCTATCTGCCACCTCCATAGAGGACGTCTTTCTCAGGTAATTCCTTTGGACGTATGTCCCATAAACCAGCCCTGAATAAGACGTATATCCCATGAACCAGCCGTAAGTAAGACGTATATCCCATAAACCAGCCGTAAGTAAGACGTATATCCCATAAACCAGCCGTGAGTAAGACGTATATCCCATAAACCAGCCGTGAGTAAGACGTATATCCCATAAACCCGCCCTGACTAAGACGTATATCCCATAAACCAGCAGTGAGTAAGACGTATATCCCATAAACCAGCCGTGAGTAAGACGTATATCCCATAAACCAGCCGTGAGTAAGACGTATACACCATAAACCAGCCCTGACTAAGACGTATATCCCATGAACCAGCCGTGAGAAAGACGTATATCCCATAAACCAGCCCTGACTAAGACGTATATCCCATGAACCAGCCGTAAGTAAGACGTATATCCCATAAACCAGCCCTGACTAAGACGTATATCCCATGAACCAGCCGTAAGTAAGACGTATATCCCATAAACCAGCCGTGAGTAAGACGTATATCCCATAAACCAGCCGTGAGTAAGACGTATATCCCATAAACCAGCCGTGAGTAAGACGTATATCCCATAAACCAGCCGTGACTAAGACGTATATCCCATAAACCAGCCGATAGTAAGACGTATATCCCATAAACCAGCCCTGACTAAGACGTATTTCCCATAAACCAGCCGTGAGAAAGACGTATATCCCATAAACCAGCCGTGAGTAAGACGTATATCCCATAAACCAGCAGTGAGTAAGACGTATATCCCATAAACCAGCCCTGACTAAGACGTATGTCCCATAAACCAGCCGTGACTAAGACGTATATCCCATAAACCAGCCCTGACTAAGACGTATATCCCATAAACCAGCCCTGACTAAGACGGGTATATTTTCCGCCACAGAGCTGGAGCGAACGCCCGCCGTGTCAGCGAGGACGAAAACTCCCTGGCTGATGAAGAAGAACAAGCGCCGAACACCCGCCTTCCTGCTAGCAAAATGTCACGGGTGAGCAGAGCAACGGCAAACATGCGCGTGAGCAGGCCAACGGCAGACAGACGCGTGAGCAGCGCACCCTTTAACCGCCGCTTCAGTATGAGGTGAGTACTCGGAGCGGTAACATTGAGCGTCGTGTTGAAAAGTAGACTCGCATTGTTACAGCACGGTGTTCAGATGTAAAGGTGACCACCCACAGGAAGCGGCCTGGCATAGTGCTGACCACACTAGCCGTTCATATACCACCTTCACAGAAACAGGTGAACTCTACTTCACTTACCCCATGGACCCTCAGGATCGAAAAGGGAGCATTACTTTTAATATTACCCAAAGAATGGTTTTAATTTGGTTACATTGGGCGTTGTAATTAACATATAATTGTCTTCTATCGCGTTTTTTTTTAATTTGGGAAACGAGTTATATAAATTGTTTTAGTTTAGACATCAGTGGTTCAATTTCCTCGTGTTTTGTGAGATATGTAATGTACTTATGATTGAAGGTACGACGCTTAGTTGTTCCCTCGGTCACCCAGGTATTAGTTCAACACCTAGACTTAACCATTAACATACAAGTTTAAATTGGGCTTTTATGTAAATAGTTAATTTAGTCTAAATTAACTTTTTTTTTAAAGGGGTGAGAAAATCATGGGTGCCGGCATGGATATGCTATTTAAAAATGACGACTTAATAACAGGTAAGTTCAGAAATGGCGACTTACTTACAGGTAAGTTTAGAAATGGCGACTTACTAGCAGGTAAGTTTAAAAATGGCGACTTACTTAAAGCGTCATTAATACCAACAGTCAGAGACTACTTTTCTGAATATTATGCTTGGAGTAAACTTTTATTGACAGTAAAATGCCTGGCCAACATAAGTGATTGAGTGAGTGATTAATCTCTCAAACTCGAGGCCTCCAAACCCACCCACCCTTCACACCCACCCTCACCTTCAGCCCCACCCACGCGACAGCTTTCAGTGTCAGACCAGGGGCCTCCACTCACGCGAGTCGAACTCTAGTCGCAGTTTAAATAAGTCGACATACAAGAGATAAAGCTAACTAATGCCCTGAGGTTTTCATTATAACTCTAACTAATGCCTTGAGGTTTTCAGTATAACCCTAACTAATGCCCTTAGATTTCCAGTATAAACCTAACTAATGCCCTGAGGTATTCAGTATAACCCTAACTAATGCCCTTAGATTTTCCAGTATAAACCTAACTAGTGCCCTGAGGTATTCAGTATAACCCTAACTAATGCCCCGAGATTTTCAGTATAACCCTAACTAATGCCCTGAGATTTCCAGTATAACCCTAACTAATGCCCCGAGATTTTCAGTATAACCCTAACTAATGCCCTGAGATTTCCAGTATAACCCTAACTTATGCCCTGAGGTATTCAGTATAACCCTAACTAATGCCCCGAGATTTTCAGTATAACCCTAACTAATGCCCTGAGGTATTCAGTATAACCCTAACTAATGCCCCGAGATTTTCAGTATAACCCTAACTAATGCCCTGAGATTTCCAGTATAACCCTAACTAATGCCCTGAGATTTCCAGTATAACCCTAACTAATGCCCTGAGATTTCCAGTATAACCCTAACTAATGCCCTGAGATTTCCAGTATAACCCTAACTAATGCCCTGAGATTTCCAGTATAACCCTAACTAATGCCCTGAGATTTCCAGTATAACCCTAACTAATGCCCTGAGGTATTCAGTATAACCCTAACTAATGCCCCGAGATTTCCAGTATAACCCTAACTAATGCCCTGAGATTTTCAGTATAACCCTAACTAATGCCCTGGGGTATTCAGTATAACCCTAACTAATGCCCCGAGATTTTCAGTATAACCCTAACTAATGCCCTGACGTATTCAGTATAACCCTAACTAATGCCCCGAGATTTTCAGTATAACCCTAACTAATGCCCTGAGATTTCCAGTATAACCCTAACTAATGCCCTGAGATTTCCAGTATAACCCTAACTAATGCCCTGAGATTTTCAGTATAACCCTAACTAATGCCCCGAGATTTCCAGTATAACCCTAACTAATGCCCCGAGATTTTCAGTATAACCCTAACTAATGCCCTGAGATTTCCAGTATAACCCTAACTAATGCCCTGAGATTTCCAGTATAACCCTAACTAATGCCCTGAGGTATTCAGTATAACCCTAACTAATGCCCTGAGATTTCCAGTATAACCCTAACTAATGCCCTGAGGTATTCAGTATAACCCTAACTAATGCCCCGAGATTTCCAGTATAACCCTAACTAATGCCCTGAGATTTTCAGTATAACCCTAACTAATGCCCTGGGGTATTCAGTATAACCCTAACTAATGCCCCGAGATTTTCAATATAACCCTAACTAATGCCCTGACGTATTCAGTATAACCCTAACTAATGCCCCGAGATTTTCAGTATAACCCTAACTAATGCCCTGAGATTTCCAGTATAACCCTAACTAATGCCCTGAGATTTCCAGTATAACCCTAACTAATGCCCTGAGATTTCCAGTATAACCCTAACTAATGCCCTGAGATTTCCAGTATAACCCTAACTAATGCCCTGAGGTATTCAGTATAACCCTAACTAATGCCCCGAGATTTTCAGTATAACCCTAACTAATGCCCTGAGATTTCCAGTATAACCCTAACTAATGCCCTGAGGTATTCAGTATAACCCTAACTAATGCCCTGAGGTATTCAGTATAACCTTAACTAATGCCCCGAGATTTCCAGTATAACCCTAACTAATGCCCTGAGATTTCCAGTATAACCCTAACTAATGCCCCGAGATTTTCAGTATAACCCTAACTCAGGGGTCTCCAAACTACGGCCCGCGGGCCGGATGCGGCCCGCGATGTCCTCTCATCCGGCCCGCGGAGATCTTTTTGTCCACGGAAAATTCGTTTGTTGGTGATGGCTGAGGAACTTTGCCCAGAAAAATCAAAGAAACTGGCCCCCAAACTGAAATTTGATAGTTAATGCGGCCCTCGGACTGAAAAGTTTGGAGACCCCTGCCCTAACTAATGCCCTGAGATTTCCAGTATAACCCTAACTAATGCCCCGAGATTTCCAGTATAACCCCAACTAATGCCCTGAGATGTTCAGTATAGTTTCCCGTCCCTATGCCAATAAAACTCCCATTGTCCCGCAGCTCGTATACTCCGGAACAGCCAAACAGTCCACACCGGCGCCCTGAAGCTCTTCCTCCAGCAGACCAAGGCCACCTTCATCAAACAATACATCCTGTTCCGCCGGCACCCGGTGTCGTCGTCCCTGGCCCTTATCCTGCCCCCCATCCTGATGCTGCTCAGCGTGGCCACAGACGAGCAGAGCACCAACCAGCAGACGAACGCCGTCAACTTCAGCCTGCAGAACCTCCACGACCTCGTCACACCCTTCTGGACCAACAACCACAGCGACACGGGGCTCGTGCAGTTTTACAAGGGGCAGTTCGAGTCTTCTGAGTTCATACAAGCTCAAGAGGTACATCTCTTTGATCGTGTCAGCCTTAGAGGCAATGGTGGGGTAGTACATACAACCTCAAGAGGTACCTCTCTTTAATCGTGTCAGCTTTAGAGGCAATGGTGGGGTAGTACATACAACCTCAAGAGGTACATCTCTTTGATCGTGTCAGCTTTAGAGGCAATGGTGGGGTAGTACATACAAGCTCAAGAGGTACATCTCTTTGATCGTGTCAGCTTTAGAGGCAATGGTGGGGTAGTACATACAACCTCAAGAGGTACATCTCTTTGATCGTGTCAGCATTAGAGGCAATGGTGGGGTAGTACATACAACCTCAAGAGGTACCTCTCTTTGATCGTGTCAGCATTAGAGGCAACGGTGGGGTAGGAGTGGTTAGGGGAATCACCCCCCCCCCCCCAACACACACACACAAACACCAATAGATTGCCAAATGACACATGTCTTAAGTTACATGTTCTATTGACCACACACCCATTTATTGCCAAATGACACCTTTCCTAAGTTATATATTCTATTGACCACACACCCGTAGATTGCCAAATGACACCTATCTTACAAATTACATCGGTCTTAAGTTATATATACTATTGACCAAGAGGACACGCAAGCACTGGGATCTATGAGTATTAGAACACACCTTGCTTGCCTTGAGTTCGGCAGCTCCATACAGTTTCCGACGTGTTTCTTTAAAATCAAATCTAAATTAATTTTATAATGAGCTCAAAACTGGCGTTAGTACATTACAGATTAGAATAAGCTACCCCTATACTAATAAGTATTGTTCTAAAAACATGAGATAACAATGTCTACCAATTCCAATAAAGCATACCCTCTTCCCATATCGGTTATTTTTTATTGTTATTCTTTCTTTTAAATTCTTCTTTTCCCCCAAGAATAAACTGCGATTTGTTTACAATCCACATGATCACGTGTGTTTCCACAGACGAACCCAAACGATTTCTTCTTAGACTGGATATCGAATCACGGAGTGGATCGTTTTGAAACTAAGATGGTGGTTGGTGCCAAGTTAAGCACACCCAACGTCATAACAGCCTTCTATCAACCTAAAGTTATACATTCCCAGGGAATAGCTGTAAGTATCAACCTAAAGTTATACATTCCCAGGGAATAGCTGTAAGTATCAACCTAAAGTAATACATTCACAGGGAATAGCTTTTTCAAGCTAAAGTTATACATTCCCAGGGAATAGCTGTTTCAAGCTAAAGTTATACATTCCCTGGGAATAGCTGTAAGTATCAACCTAAAGTTATACATTCCCAGGGAATACCGATAGCATTTGTTACAATAGTGACAGCCTTTACCGATAACATTTGTTACAAAAATAACAGCCAATGAGTAGACCGATAACATTTGTTACAGCATTTACTGATAACATTTGTTACAACAGTGACAGCCAATGATTAGACCGATAACATTTGTTACAACAGTGACAGCCAATGATTAGACCGATAACATTTGTTACAATAGTGACAGCCTTTACCAATAACATTTGTTACAGCCTTTACCGATACCATTTGTTACAACAGTGACAGCCTTTACCAATAACATTTGTTACAATACAACAGTGACAGTCAATGATTAGACCAATAACATTTGTTACAGCCTTTACCGATAACATTTGTTACAACAGTGACAGCCAATGATTAGACCGATAACATTTGTTACAATAGTGACAGCCTTTACCAATAACATTTGTTACAGCCTTTACCGATACCATTTGTTACAACAGTGACAGCCTTTACCAATAACATTTGTTACAATACAACAGTGACAGTCAATGATTAGACCAATAACATTTGTTACAGCCTTTACCGATAACATTTGTTACAACAGTGACAGCCGTTACCGATAACATTTGTTACAATACAACAGTGACAGTCAATGATTAGACCAATAACATTTGTTACAGCCTTTACCGATAACATTTGTTACAACAGTGACAGCCTTTACTGATAACATTTGTTACAATAGTGACAGCCTTTACCGATAACATTTGTTACAGCCTTTACCGATAACATTTGTTACAGCCTTTACTGACAACATTTGTTACAACAGTGACAGCCAATCATTAGACCCATAACATTTGTTACAACAGCGACAGCCAATGATTAGACCCATAACATTTGTTACAACAGCGACAGCCTTTACTGACAACATTTGTTACAACAGTGGCTTCACCGATAACATTTGTTGATACCATTGCAGGTGCAGCTTATCCTCGACGCTCGTGTAAAAGCAGAACTCGGTGGCGAGTACTCAGTACGGTCGGGCATACAAGACGATACCAGCCAACTCTCGGAAGAGCTTCACACGTTTGAGTTCATCAACTTGATCTTTGCGCTCGTCCCAATACTTCTAGCCAGCAGGATCATCTCGGAGAGATCGGTGAGCTGGTTGATGTATGTCAGTAGAGTCAAGGTCTGGGGGTGTGAGATGGTGTAGAGGGAAAGATCGGTGAGCTGGTTGATGTATGTCAGTAGAGTCAAGGTCTGGGGGTGTGAGACGGTGTAGAGGGAAAGATCGGTGAGCTGGTTGATGTATGTCAGTAGAGTCAAGGTATGGAGGTGTGAGATGGTGTAGAGGGAAAGATCGGTGAGCTGGTTGATGTATGTCAGTAGAATTTTGCTGGTCAAGGTTTTGAGGTGTGAGGTGGTGTAGAGGTAAATGACGGGAACTCTAAGACACACGAGTAAAAGGGAAGGAATAGATTACGTGTGAGGGGGGGGTGTAATGCGCTATGTCAACAGACTTGAAGAACTTGTTACCCGGCTACCCCCACCCCGCTTCCCAACAACTAAATATCCTAGATCTCATATATTTTTGCTTGTACTTTTCTTTTTAAAGTAACATTTTAGATAAGAATTGAATCCGCTATAAAATGTTTTGTTACTTTTAGTACAACACCATTGGTCTTAAATTAGCAAAAATAAGCGTTAATAACAAAGTTTTTGTTAATTTCAAGATTGTTATAAAAATGCTTTACTGAAGAAAATTTTACAGGGTTTTGTTGTAAGGTGGTAGTGGTGGTGATGGTGGTAATGGTGATAGTGTTTGTGGGAGTGGTTGTGGTTGTGGTTTTAGTGATAGTGGTGGTGTTTGCAGGGGTGGTGTTTGTGGACGGTGGTGGTCGTGGTCATGATGGTGTTTGCGGGAGTGGTGGTGGTAGCAGTGGTGGTGATAATGATAGTGGTGATGGTGTTTGTAGGGGTGGTGTTTGTGGCGATGATGGTAGTTGTGGGAGGTGGTGGTGGTGATGGTGGTTGTGGAGACACTCATGATTGTGTTGTGGAGGTGGTGGTGATCATAGTGTTTGTGGTGGTAAAGATAATTTGTGTCTAGTTACTACATCTGCATACTACATCTGCCTTTGCATTTCCCCGTGGAGCCAGGAAGGCAGTAAACACCTCCAAGAGCTGTGCGGCACCTACCCCGGGGCCTACTGGTTGGGGACGTTTCTCTTCGACTACATCGTCTTCACGGTTGTCGTCCTAACGATCATGATGGTTCTCACCATCAAGCCCCAGAAGCTCATCATACATTCACGCTATGTGGCCACATTCACTTTCTTCATGGTCTACGGTCTTTCATCTTTTCCAAATATCTACTTCATCGAACATTTCTTCAATAGAACAGCCATAGGCATCGTCTTTCTTATTGTGATTAAGGTTTCAGGTAAGCTATAATTTAAGTTGTACTTATACTAATTAAGGTTTCAGGTAAGCTATAATTTAAGTTGTAGTTATACTAATTAAGGCTTCAGGTAAGTTATAATTTAAGTCGCACTTATACTAATTAAGGTTTCAGGTAAGCTATAATTTAAGTCGCACTTATACTAATTAAGGTTTCAGGTAAGCTATAATTTAAGTCGCATTTATACTAATTAAGGTTTCAGGTAAGCTTAAAAATATTGAGATTTAGACTCTTGTTTTTAATAAAATTTACAAAATTGTTACGGTTATACGGGTACAACCTGAATAGGCCTACATAGCAAATAAAACAGAAATCAAGATCCCACAAGTCGGTAGGTGACTATTTATATACAAACTATAGCCGTTCAGACATGGATAAATATAGAGAGTATGATGACGCATCTTAACACATATTTAGATAGATCACAATAGTAGCATGCCATTGATCAAGGCTCCCGGTCAAAAACCCCCTGGACATAAACCCCCTGGACATAAACCCCCCGACATAAACCCCCTGGACAAAAACCCCCTGCGACATAAACCCCCTGGACAAAAACCCCCCGCGATATAAACCCCCTGGACAAAAACCCCCCGCGATATAAACCCCCTGGACAAAAACCCCCCAATTGAGGTTTATATATGGAAAAACCAAAGATGACGAGAAACAAAATTAATATAAAAATACAAAACAAACATTAGGAAAAATCTTTTATTTTTATTATAACTTTAAAAAGACAGATTGTGAGCGATGCCTCGCAAATACTCAATAATGGTGGACTCATTAAAAAATTTTTTTTGGCACCATCCCATATGCGACTGAAAACTTCTGTGCCAGCCTTCAACTGAGTTGTTTGTTTTTGGCATATGGTC